AAACTAAAAATACCCAGACAGCACACCAAATCCTTTGGATATCTAATGAACATACCAATATCCACTGAATGTCCAGTCCATGGTGGATATCTATTTTATATCCATGAAATGTAATTTATAGACATGCAAATGTCCATAAATAATAGTAATTATATAGCAAATTATTAAAAAATTACGCCATTGTGCTCGCCATTGTGGCTAATAGTACCGTTCAGATATTTAAAATTAATTTTTTTAAGGTGTATTCTATATCCCATGGACATCCACTATAAATATAAATATATCAAAGTCTAAGCGCGGACGCAAACCATCGTGGATATCTACTAGATGTAATTTTTGATTTTGCTTCCTAAGTATAGATGGCGATACCACTTTCGTATCTACTCATGCTCAACCCGCCGTAAATGAGTTCGATCGAATTTTTTTGGCAGTCACACCACAGACCATACCCTTTAAAGATGGGCCACTCAACAGTGAAAAATTTTACTCATCTTTCAGCGCCATCCGTAGCGGTTGCAAATAGTTGAGTTAAAAAAAAAGAAGATAACTAATAATTGAAAATTTGTTCAAGATTTATTAAATAGATGGCGGTAGGGGTCAATGAGCGCGGGTTTTTCAAACTCGGCCTTTCTAATAAACCACTACTAAGTTTTCAAAATTATAATTTTTCGTTCTTTTTTACTTAAAATGATTCAAACATTTTATTCTTCACTCAACATACTTAGATGGATATAATCCATTGAGTTATGTTCTGTGATAGATAAAATTTGAAATATTTTAAGTTAAAAAGAAAACGAAAAATTATAATTTTGGATTTATGGAACAAAAAATACATCTTATTATGAAATAAAACACGATTATAACCATATATTTTTTATTATTAGAATTAAAATTGCACGAATTCTTATTACAGTACACAATAATAAAGAAATATGAATATAAAACTATTGTGAAGTTCACCCATGGTTGTATCCAGTAGAAGTTGTAACGAAAGTTCCTGGGGAAAGTTGGCTCTGGCTGCTGTTGGGTGTACTTGTCACTTCCTATTGCAGTGTTTGCTGATTCGTTTTCATGTAAAAAATGAAGAAGAGTATCAGTTAAAAAATATAAAGTTCAATTTTATTATTTTTGTTTTGAGTCAATTCAGCTGAGCTATTAATTTATTAGCTAGTGAGAATGAATCGGCATTTCTTAAAAATATATCGTAGAAGATTTTTCAATAAAATGAAGGAATTTGAATTTAGTAAGAATGCAACTTTTATTAATTGGAATCAATAAATTGTGAAGATACCTAGGTGAGGTAGGTCACAGTATATGGAGCAAAAAATAATAAGAGTCGCACAATATAAAATATACAATTATTGGTATGTTTGAAAAGTACCTCATTTTGAATTCGGAAAAAAAATTGTATATAGGTATCTACTATAAAGTATCCATTACATATTGTATAATTCTAAAAAAATACTAATAACACTATTTATTTCAATCTTCTTAATATTCACATATTTTATCTAGTTACTGAAATTGTATAGAAAATGATAAAAGTTAGGTTAAGATTTTTAATTTTTCCTAGAAAACATTAGGTTACCCGCATTATTTTGGAAATTTATTTCACAAATTGGGTACTTTTAAGTAATAATATATGCTCTTAAAATTTGGCAAAGTATTTAAGAATAAAATACAAAAAGAAGTTTTTACTTGTAAAGAAATAAAATTGTAAATGTATTCCTTACCTGCGACTAACTTTATCCTGACAATCTGGATCAGCACAAGGACGAATTCGCACCATAATTATAAATGTTTAAAGCTTTAAAAATTATCTTCGAAAAACTAACCTAATAAAACAAATCAACCATTACCATTATTGCCATTGGCTGCGTTCATCCGCGCCACATGCTACCTGATCGATCTGGTAGCGCTCTCGAGTGGCACGTATGAACGGTGTATTTTGACATTTCGCTCAAGGAGCGGCCGCCATTAAAAGTAGCGCATTTTATTTACGTCTGATCGGTGATCACTGATCTGTCTTACGCACTTACGTCCCAATGAAGTGGAGAGGGGTAGAATGATAACTGTCAATGAAAAAGTCTAGACACTATGCACAATTTCGTTTTGCACATTTTGTAAACAAAATTCAGGGACGGTTTAACAACATTTTGTGCAACAATTATAAAATAGTGCATCGGAAAATAATTAACAAGTATAATTTAATACTAAATTGAAATAAACGCATAAAAAATCACAAATATACGCAAGATAACAAAGAATTGACGCCAAAAAAGCTTACAACAGCCACAAAACAAGCAAACAACAGAGCTGAACATGAACATAATCGCTGAACAGAGCCAATCCTGGAATTTGTTTACAGTGCTTTAGGGCAACATCTCCTTGTCATTTACATGTATAAGAGTGGAAGGTTGAATCACGCATAATTTCTACACTCGTGATGGATGCGCAGACGGTACTTTATCGTTCTACTCTCTCTACTTCTTTGTTACGTCCACGGTTTGCTTGGTGACTAGTAGGGTTATATTAGCATATTAGCAATTGAAAAATAAACAAACAAATCTTCAACCAGAGACATTCAACTCAAAAGTAAAATGAATAAACCAAAATCAAATGTCACTTTTAAACATGGTTCATCCGTGCATAAAGATCGATCAGGTAGCGTAAGTGATCGCTACTTTTGTAGCGCTCCTTGAAATGGCGCGGATGAACGCAGCCAATAATAGCGTTTTTTGAGCTGTCGAAAGTTTTAAATAACAACTTGCGTACACTTGCGTTACTCTGAACCTGCTCGACGAATGCAACGAGCAAACTTTGTGTAAGTAGCGCCATCTATGGGTGGTGCACAGTACTACAACACGAGTAAGCATTTCCCTATTAAAGATCCCATAGCCTGAATCACACTCTATTAGAGATTGGAGTCGAGAATTTCCATTTATTCAATTGCTGAAGAGTCCTAATAAGGATGACTTTCTCCTTAATGCCCTTATAGGCCTTATAGTGGGCAAAATCAAAGGCAGATTGTTGGAAATATTTTTTATCTCTATTTTCTTTCGAGGTTATTCAATAATCATTGGTTACTTATGAACCTCTACTACTAAAGATACCTATAAAATATTTTGCTGAATATCTGAATTCTATATCCATATTGGATATCCACAAAATATATTCTGTGGATATCTCTGGGATTTCTTGTATTGTCTGGAAGATACTTATTAGCTATTTTGCTGAATATCCATAGGATATCTTCTATATTCTGGATATAGACGGACATTTGGATATCCATATTAGATCCACGGAATATTTCTGATATCCTGTGGATATATTGGATATCCACAAAAGATATTCTGTGGATATCTCTGGGATTTGGTGTGTTGTCTGGGTATAAATAAACGAATAACCCATAGATTGGAATAACCTTACAGAGGTCTTAAAGACGTCTTATTTATGGCTTCACAAGCTATTAATGGTTATTGGGGGCTTATTTATGGTTTATTTAAAGCTTCACAAGACCATTATAAGCCATTAATAAGACGTCTCAAAGACATCTTATTTATGGCTTATTTAAGGCTTTACAATACCTATATAAGTCGTCTTAAAGACGGCTTATTTATGGCTTTTTTTAAGCTATACAATATAAGCCATTAATAAGACGTCTTAAAGACGTCCCCTTTTGTAACATTAGATGTCTTCTAAGACGCCTTTCAGGAAATACCAGACGTCTTATGTCTTAGGTGAGACGTCTTAAAGACGACTTTGTGCTATATGGGAATGTGTCTCAGCATTCATATTATAATGTAATTTAATTGTTTATTTTGCAGTTTTTCGCTCTATTGTGCTTCTTCCTTATCTCAACATCCGCAGTACTGTCCCTTCCGACACCGCCGGTTGAAGACCAAGTACAAAATCCCAGTTCTACAAGAGCCCAAAGACAAGCAGCAGCGGGTTCCCATCACGATGCAGTGGACTTCGGGGCCCATACGGGTGATCACGGAGCTTTTGGATGGTACGCGGACTTTCCTGTCCATGCGTACTAAGTAGTCAAAACGATATAGCTATTGTAATTGCAATTTTTGGCAGAATTTTTGAATAGTTGTTCATGTAGGGTGAAATTATGACGAAAATATTACATCATCAAACACGCACTTTACATAAGACAGTTGACATACTTTAGACGTGGTTCGACTTTAGGTACTATTTTTAAAATAATTTTGTATAATTAAAGTAAAAACAATGTGATTTTTCTATTTTAAGTATTAATTTTATGACTATTACTACCTTGTTAGTTCTTTCTTAATCTTTTCTTTGCTATATCCTTTCTCTTTCCTACTTTTAATACCTTTTTTTCTTTTCTTTTTTTATGATTACTATCTCCTTATTTTTCTTCATCTTTTCTCTCACAATCCTTTCTCTTTCTTACTTTTACTACCTCTTATTCGCCTTCTTTTATTTTTCTATTAAACTTAGGAGCAAACCAGACCTCTTGCGAAAGCAAAAATGTTTTAAGAATTTTATAATATATTTATAAGCGTACCACTGGGTATACTTCGTGATATTATGTGTCTTGACAATATTAAGAGCTTTAAATTTGTGCAACGATTAGGTAGCAATTTACAGAGACGTTTAAGAAAAAAAGGTGGGAAATCATTCCATTTAAAAATTAATTAGATATTTATTAAAACAAAAAGCAGCAATTTTTATAGATTTAATACAGAATGGTGTGTAAATGTTTTTTTTTTAATTCCTTTTAAAAATGTTCAAAATACTTATCGAAGGTTTACAAAAACTTCAAGGTTTCTCCACCATAATTTGTTTTCTCTTAAACTCAAAAAGAAGATTTTGTTACTGTGTTTTGTACAGCGGTGACCGCTTGTAAAAGAGACAAAAGTGTGAAACTTGTAATTATATTTTTGAGTTATATATTTCTATATATCTCCATCTTTGCTATGTTCCTTACTCTTCTTGAAAAATAAAAGAAAGTTATTGTTAAACTGTGTTTTATTTTATTTAAGTCGCTTGACAATTAAACTATTTACACTTTACGTTACAGAACATATATTGTCTACAATATATGGGGGATACAACTAAAAACCAAAGTATTAAGAATACTCTTATTTTATAACCCATACAGATATTTTAAATTATTAACAATAAATAAGCCAGCAAGATCAACAGATTTTATCCCCATTTAAGTTTGGCTTGCATAATTTTTCAACAATAAATATTTTGTTTTTCAGACTTCAATTACATTTCCTTACAATTCACATATCCCATGCAAATTTAAATATATTACTACATTTTATCAAATTGTACATTGTACAAGATATGTGTTTACCAAACACAATTCACACTAATCATCATTCCAATGATTCTTCTCTAATTATTCATTTTTTGGCTAATCATGCATATAAATATTTTTAAATTATGATAAAAATGTGATAAATTGAATTCATAAAAATTAAATTAACTAATCTACAAATAGGTAATAATTATTAATCATCCTGTCTTGCACTCTCCATGGCTTCTTTCAAAGTTTTTTCAAACAATTTTTTCGCGTCAGAAAAGCCCTGCTTCGTTTTACCAAACGAATTTGGACCAGAAGATGTAGGAGTGTCCCTAAAATAAAAACATAATTATTGAACATTAGATGATTCTTAAAAACGTTTTTAATAATAATATTCTTACCTTCCAATGTTCCTCATCCTCATTCTAGCTTGTGGAGGCATTTCTTCGGGTTCACTATCACTATCCTGATTAAAGACATTTGCTACGCTTAGCTTTGGCTTAGCAAGAGGCTCTTTCTTTACTTCGCCCAGTTTCATCTGGATACTAACGCTTTTCAGTCTATTCTTAGCCCCCAATCCCACATTCTCTATGGGTTTAGAAGATTGGCTGGGTTCTTCTTTGATTTCTTTTTTTACGTACTTGTCGTATCTTCGAGGCGAGCGTGATCGAGACCTCGATCTTTCCTTCTTCCTTATTTGGGAACCTAATAAACACTGATACATTTAAAGCACGTTAATAAAGAAAAAAATCTATAGATCTTAATAGGGGGTTTCTAGGTAATAATGTACATTATCCGTTTTCCAGGTAAAGCCTGAAATTAGAAATGTGCAGAATATATTTATTACCATTTAAACTGCTTTCTCTGTATCTACCACTCATTTTTGTTAAAAATTATTGATAAAAAGCATCAATTTTATAGATAATTAATAAATACGTGACAAACTCAAAACATATGTGACACGTGACACTTCTTTATGACATAATAACTGTCAATGTCAAACTTCCAATTTCACCAACAAAAAAATAATTATGACCCTACAGTTACGAGCTTCCTCAAAGAAATGCAACACATCGTACATGTTATTGTAAATGATGTTGCCTAATTTGGCCTTTCTTTGACTTCAGATTTGAACATATCTTATAAAATAATAACATCCTGTATGTATATGGAATAATTCTTTAATTTAATAAATATATTTTTTTGTTCCAAATATTATACTCTTCATGTATCGATCAAAATTTAAAAATGTTTGTACCAAAATCATTGTCATCAAATTTTAAACAACTTTAAAAAATGCCCGCCCGTCCTGTTTTTGTACGCACGTCTAACATGTAATTTTAAAAAACCGACTCAGCAAAATCGTGCAGGTGCCATCATAAATTGAGTTTGATGATTTTGTATAGTTTCAATCTTCAGATCATGACTAAATGTATATGGGACCACCCCCGCGGTTCCTCTTTCTAACAAAAAAAGAATCCTAGAAATCGGACAAAGTGGTAAAAAATTATCTCTGAATATATATAAAAATGAAGAGTTTTATAACTTTTTTCATGGATCCCATTATCAGATTTTGTCCAAATTTATAATGGGAACACCCCTAAAATACACCCTTTTTAACAAAAACAGAATCATAAAAATTGAACAACATGGTAAAGAATTATCGCTGAACATATATACAAAAACATATACAGGGTGTTTCCGAACTTTGCGTCCAAATTTGTAGGGGTGGTAGTTCGCATAATTTGAGATCTATTGACAGATATTATTTTTCTAAAAAAATTATAATAAACAAAATAGAGCCATTATAAAAAAAAATCAAAGAACGGGTCCTACCAGGTCCTACCCTGAGCGCGTAGCGCATTAGTCGCTTGATCGGTTACTCATCGGGATTTACAACTCAAAAACAGATGCGATTCACAATTTTGTCGATTTACGATCGTAGCGCGTGCGAGTCGAGGCTGTGCAGGACCGTACCTGTTTAAAATTTTTAATTAATTTTTATTTTTATTTCAAATATTTTGGAAAAATGAAATCTGTGAATTGCTGTCAAATTATGCGAACTACCACCCCTACAAATTTAGACGCCAAGTTTGGAAACACCCTGTATATTCCGATGAATTGAGATCCGCCTCCTCCTTTTTTTGAAGTCGGCCAATAAATAAAAAACGAAAAACGATATCAATTTAATATTTTTAGGAAAAATCAAACTCTATATAAAAGGAAAAAGACAATGAAAAAAAATCGGGGGTTACTGGGGTTTGAAATTAAAGAAAAAAAGCCTATTGATTATGAAAAAATTTGTATATAAATGGGGGTTAATTAAGGGGGTCTGTTAAACTGTGTAGAGTATATAATGTAGAATGCATATATCATCATTTTAATTTCATTTATTATTCAAGTTCGATGTGCATATTTTAATCGACCCTAAGGACCGATTCCACCGTTATGTTAAACGGAAATTAAAATGACATTGTTTATGTAAAAATGTCATTTTAAACTTCGTTTAACACAACGGTGGAATCCACAAAGCACGTATCTTTTAGAGACCCCACGCCAATGTTAAACTTTTAAACCAAATTGGCACCACCTTGTGTTTGGAGCTGGAACTAAAATGACAATTGACAGATGGCGGTAAATTCAAATTGTAATTTTTAGGAGTAGGTAGTAGTTTTAAATTAAATTTTAAATGATTTCCACATAAATTATTTTATAAAATAAAGAATGGAACTAGTAAGTTCGAAACTTTTATTTTACAAAATAATTTAGGTCGATTATACCAAATTTGAGGAATTAATTTGTTATAAGCAGGGGTCTGATGTGAAGAGTTGGTTCTGCATATTATTATTAAATAAATATAAGATATATCAATAAACAATAAAATAGAACATTCTTAAAATATGTTTATTAATAACTTAAATAATATTATTAGATAAAAATAAATACAAATAATAATACATATTTAACGAATACTTACTTGCAGCAAATAGGTATATAATCTCAAATCTTTAAAATACCTATCAATAATTTAAATGTGAAGTAGAGACTAGGATATTACATTTTATTAACACTAAAATAATATATTTTATAAATGTCTTTTAAACCGAGGACAAATGTAATATAAGTATTGTATTAAAAGGTGAATCCTTTTAACTATTCATTCAATGATAAATAGGTATTTTCCTTCCAAATACAGATGGTGGTATTACTCCACTGCTTTGTGTATTACTCTCTTATGTGAAAAATGATTTCGGAATCTAGTCCAGTGATAAATTGATTATCAATTAGTTGTTATACCCGTTTCTTTTTATGATGCAGATGCATGGTGAATCAATGAAGTTTTTCTCGAAGTTTTCAACGTAGCACCCACAGGTAGCACCAAAATTATTGCAAAACACAGTAGGTTATAACTAAGACGAAACTATAAACAGAAACCAAAAGCCAAAGCCAACAAAAAATCACTAAAATCAGACGGAAAAATGAGATTAACCAAAAACATAAATAAATACACGTCACATCTTTGGAGTCTTTGGTTAAGTTTTTCTCCCATAAAGCTTAAAAATGGAGTAAGAAATCAGAATTTTACCAGTAGCCCCATCTAGAGTTTGGAGCAAATAGCATAAAAAATGTCAATTGTCGGTTTTGACCTTGGTCATTCACGTGGAACCTCTATGTGCTTTGTGGTGGAATCGGTCCTAAATATGCTAATATATTTGCTGCGTTTGAGAATCCACATCGGATGCATCTGAGATGTAAAAAATCTTTGATCACGTGGTTCAGTATACGTAAATGTAATGGGACAGATGTGTCCGATGTGGATAAAAAAACGCTCGAGATGTAAAAAATGCATCCGATGTAGATTCTCAAACGCAGCAATATTTCTAACATTTAAAAGGTGGCTGTTTACAGACTAAAGTAGAGACGTTAATAAATTAAAAAGGAAGAAATAACTATTTCCGTTTCTGAAAGTGTTGCCAACTGAAATTGTCAGTTGACAGAAACAGAGACAACCAATATGTCGTTCTTTATTTCCGTTTGACAGTGTGAGCTAGTTCGAAAATGGTGAGTTGGATTTATTTTAAAGATTTTTTAAGAAATTATAGTAAATAATACATTTTAAAAGTTTGTGAATAGTATGTTTAAATGTAATCAACACTTTCTTACATATTATTGTCGATTTATTTGATCAAATTTGTGTTCGACAAAATTCTAACCTATTTACACCACCAACACATGGCATTTTTTCGAAAAGGTAACGAGTGTATTTTTTATTCTATTTTAGACTTGTAAGCGGCGTAATGGAGGGCGCTCCAAGCATGGTCGTGGTCACGTAAAGCCAGTTAGATGCACAAATTGTGCTAGATGTGTCCCAAAAGACAAAGCTATCAAAAAGTTTGTTATCCGTAACATTGTAGAAGCCGCTGCTGTAAGAGATATTACTGAAGCGTCAGTATATCAAGGTAATAATTATAAAAATATTTATAGTTGATTTATGTTATAAAATACATATTTTTTAGCTTACGTACTCCCCAAGCTCTACGCGAAGCTCCACTACTGCGTATCCTGCGCTATTCACAGTAAAGTAGTACGTAATAGAAGCAAGAAAGATAGGAGGATTAGGACTCCGCCCCAGAGAAACTTCCCTGGTCGCGATAACAACAGGCCTCAACAGCAAGGTGCACCCAGAAAGTAAAATGTTCCATTTGTTTTACAATAAAATAAAATAGAAAATCTCAATTTGCTGTTTTTATTGAAGTTATTTTCTCCAGCTAAGATTTTCTAGAAAATATTTCACTCTTTTAGGGATAAAAATTGTCTTCTATTGTACCCATATTTTTTTCAAAATAGTTATCCATATGAAAACAAGTTTAATTAAATTAAAAATGTCTTTATTATATGTACAGTGATAATTCTTTAACACGTCTAATTTCATTGATTCTTTTTTTGTTAGAAAGGATGTACTTCAATGGTGGTCCCATATAAATTTGGTCAAAATCTAATAATTGGGTTCATGAGAAAATCCTCAAACTCTTCATTTTTATTGCTGCGTTTGAGAATCCACATCGGATGCATTTTTTACATCTCGAGCGTTTTTTTATCCACATCGGACACATCTGTCCCATTACATTTACGTATACTGAACCACGTGATCAAAGATTTTTTACATCTCAGATGCATCCGATGTGGATTCTCAAACGCAGCATATAAAATACATTTACAAGAAAACCATTAAGATGTTTTCTTAAATCATTACGATGATAACCTGTAGTATCTTCTAATATGTTACTGAACTTATTGTAACACTTAATCCCAATATATTTTGGTGAATGCTGGCTTATTTGTAGTGAAAAAGGTTGATGAATGTTGAATTTTAATCTAGTATCATATGAGTGTAGGTCTTTATTTTTCTTAAATATATGCTCATTATCTTTTATGTATAAAATTAGTTGAAAAATATAAAGGGAAGGTAGTGTTGGCACATATAAGCGTATACTCTCAAGAAGCTCAGGACAACTTACTAAACCATTGAGAATCTTAAAAACAAATATCAAATCATAATCGTCCTGCCTTTTGCTTAGTAGGTCAATATTCAGTGATTTCATAATATCTGTATAGTTATGATTACTAATTTGTATATATGATCTGTATGCACAGTACTTCAGAAATTTGTTCTGAACTTTTTCCAGGCTCGTACAATGGTTCTGATGATGTGGATACCATACAATAGATTCATATTCCAACTCTGTGATACCACTAGAGCAAAATATACTGTTCGTACGGTCCAAACAGAAAATCCATAGCAGTTGCGTAAAATAAATCACAGGGACTTTGAAGCGTTCACTGTAACATTATTTATATGTCGTACAAAACGTAATTGTTCATCGAATATGACTCCTAAATCCTTCACAAAGGTTACATATGTCAACTGATAGCCATTAATTGAGTAGGACGTTTGAAATTTTTTATTACCTTTATAAAAACATGACAACATTTATTAGCATTTAAATGCAAATTGTTATCATTACACCAAATACTTAAATTGTTTAAATCGTCCTGGATTAAACTAATATCCTCTAACGATGTTATGTGCCTGAAAAGCTTTAAATCATCGGCAAACATTAAAAAGTCACAGTTTTGGAAACATCTTGCAATATCGTTAATGAATATATTAAACAATAAAGGTGAGCAATGAGCGCCCTGTGGTACACCAGAAGATACACAGATTGTATTTAGTGATGCCGCGAGACAAGAGATTCTCGTCTCGAACGAGACGAGAGACATTTTCTCTCAAAGACAGATTCGAGACGAAAGAGTGTCATCTCTCGACGAGAATTTCTCGTTTCTCTCGAACAATTTTCTCTTTGCTTATTTGAAATTTTCAATTGCTTATCATAACATAAAATTTTAACATAGTAAATTTCGAGATATTCAAAAAGTTAACTATAACACACCTATTCTATATACAGGGTGGCTCACGCTCAACGGGACGGAGCTTTATGGGAAAACGACCAAAGATATAAAAAATTCGTTTGGGAGGAATACGTAGGTTACAGACGGCTACAATTTAAAATTTGTTAGATGTATACAGGATGTCCCACATAAGAAAAAAAAATTAGTTCATTAAAAATTATTCAAACAAGAGTAAACAATTAATTTCTGGGAGACTTTTTTTCCTTAAAAATTCAAATAAATCGAAAACTAATAATAGTAATAGGGAACCTTTAGTTAACTGACATTATTTTTGATGTAGTTTTTAATTCTAAAATAAAAAACAGGGTGTTCCATTAAAAATAATATAACGTTGTATATTTTCTCTTATGTGGGACATCCTGTATACATCTAACAAATTTTAAATTGTAGGCGTCTGTAACCTACGTATTCCTCCCAAACGAATTTTTTATATCTTTGGTCGTTTTCCCATAAAGCTCCGTCCCGTTGAGCGTGAGCCACCCTGTATATTAAATGGTAACAAATGATACTTGTGTTATTAGCGTTTTATAGTGATTTATAAGAAAAAAATATTTCTCATTTCATTTATTTAAAATTTATGCAATAATTTCTTATATTTAACCCATTCTGCTTTTCTAAGGTTACTTTTAAAGATAAGTTAAAAATTTTTAAGCGTTTTTCGAAAAACTGTCAAAGAACGAATTTATTATATACAGTGAGGACGAAAATTGTATCCTCTAGTATTTTAACTTCTAAATGAAAAAAGATAATGACAAAACAAAAACGAGGTTAAACTCAAGAGATATTATATTTTTGTTATAACGAGATGCACTTTACTGGGACACGTTAGATAGAGGAAGTTACTAGCTTTAAATTTTCTAATCGAAAGTAGGTTCATATGATACCTCATTTGAAAGATATTTTCTGTATTTTTACGTTTACGTAAACAGATTTAAGTTCTTATGTTTCTATGTTTTTACAGAAATTATATGAAATAAATTCATAAATTAGGTTAAAGTCTTGTTTTATTTACCGCTTCAACCTCAAAGGATCATTACCAGAGGTATAATACCTTATAAATGCTCTTTTTTGCAATAGTATACAATGGGTAATTAACATTTTGGCTAGTACAGAGTAATTTTATTAAGTAATTTTTCACTGTTAGAGGGATTTAACATTGCACAAATGGCAATTTTTTTGTAGCTGGTACTTTGTTCTTATACAGACATATGTTCGGGGCCTTTACTTATAAGTTATATTCTTGATAACTCTCATATTAACAATTATTGCTTATTACGAAGGAAACGCTTCTTGTATTTACTAAAATAAATAAATTAAGAATATCAAAGGTGATTTAAAAACCACTTGACGTATTAAATTTTTCTTTGCAAAAAAAGCTTAATAAAAAATTCTCTTCTAACATTTCTAGGATTATTACGGCACACCAGGATTATCAAGAACGTAATTTTTGTAAAAACAAAAAAATATCAATACTGTTTGCTTGGACGTAAATATAATCAAACTATCTTTCATATGAGGTATTATATGACTCTACTTTCCATTAGAAAATTTAAAGATAGTAACGCCCTCTATTTTACGTCTCAAGTAAAGTGCATCTCATTATAACAAAAATATTATAATGTTTCTCTAATTTCACATTGTTTTTGTTTTATGTCTCTATCTTCTTGCATTTTGAAACATACTACAAAATGCTTTCCCAATCCACAACTGACTTACAAGACAAAGTATTTTCGTTTTTAGTTAGCGCCTAATCTGGGCCACTTATTATTACTTCAAATTTCAATTGTAAAACGACTGTTACAGACGGACAGACAGAGACATAAGTGTTTCTTATTGCCAAATTTGGGTACTAATGCGCAAATTACTTGAAAAATTCTTGGTTTTGTCTTAAAAATTTTACCGTTTTTTCATTTTCGTCTTTTTCAAATTTAAATTTGATATTGTTTTATCACGAGAGAAACGAGACCAGACGAGAGAAAGGCTCTCTCGAGCGAGAGAAGCGCCTTCTCGTCGAGACGAGAGAACAGTTTTCTCTCGCCCTTCGAGAATAGACGAGAGAGGCCACTGTCTCGTCTTGTCTCGCGGCATCACTAATTGTATTTGATTTAAAACATCCTATTCTTACCTGTTGCATGCGACTAGTTAAAAAACTCTTGAACCAATGTAAAGATTGATCCGAAAAACCAAACTTTTTTAATTTTTTCAATAGAATGTTATGACTCTATCGAATGCTTTGGAGAAGTCCATAAATCGCTTCCATCTGCCATTTCTTTTCCAATACATTTAGTATTTTTTATTGGAAGACCACTAAATTTGTAATAGTTGATTTATTCTATGAAAAGCCATGTTGATTATCAATTAAACGTTCTTTGCAGTAAAATTTTAACTGGTTACATATTAGATTATTGAAAAGTTTTGGCAAAGAAGATTGATTGCATACACTACGATAGTTTGTATATCTTGTTTCCTGATTTAAATATAGGACGAATATAAGACTGCTTCCAAAACGTAGGAAAAAATCCAGAATCCAGCGATAATAGAATAGATGTGTTAGTGTATAAATACAATTTTTAAGAAAGTAGTCAGGAATCCCTTCCGGGCCGCTGCTCATTTTATTGGGTAAAGCCATGATTTCATTAAAAATATCTTCAACAGAGATAACAAAATTAGGCATGGTGAAATTACTATTATTTCCAAATGCACTGAGGTCAGTGAATGTCGATTCAGGTGAATAAACCGTGGAAAATAATTGAGCAAAACAATTTACAATGTGTTCTCCATCTGCTGCTATAATATCTCCGTAATACATTGTATCTGGTACTTCACAGGACGAATGTTTACATGTTTCCACAAATATTTTGGATTGCTGCATAAACTATGGTCTACCTGATTATAATACAATTGTTATAGCAACTATTAGTTACATTTTTGCATGATCTTCTAAGATCTGAAAAGACTTGATAATCCTGTAGAGTAAGAGTATTTAGATATTGTTTATGTGCAACTTTCTTCTGCTGAACTAAAGATCGTAACTGTGCATTAAACCATTTTGGATAGCTGGATGTTTTAAATTTTTTCACCGGCACAAACAAATATACTGCCATATTTAGTATATTGTATAATTCTGCTACTGCTTCATCAATGCTTGATAAGTTTAAATGATGTTAGCGATACTGAATTTAAAGCAATACTGAAAGTATAACTAATGTGATGATAACTATTTTCAAAAATCGGATCAGATGCTTGAAGTATCTCTAAGTTACAAAAATTTTAAAAAACTAAATCTAAAAATGGATTTCTATTATTGGGAATGTTTATCAATTAAAAAAAATGTAGGAAAGCATAACTCTGAGCTACCCGCATAGCATGAGAATCTTGAGGGCAATTTACTAATACAACATGTTCACTGTTATCCCAATATGCTTCAGGTAAATTGAAATCGCCAAATATGTAAAACTTCTGCTGATTATTTCTTTGAACAATGTCTTCTACTGTCCTACAATGTTGCTCATACACTACTTCTGAGGATTTGGGAGGAATGTATACTCCCCTAATAATAAATGTTTTATTCCCAATTGAACATACCAGATAAAGTTTTTTTAGTGATTTGTGTAGAGGATTTAACACAGTTACTTTGATGGAATCTTTTATAATGATTAATATTCCTCTCCCCCTCTAGATTTGTCACTGGTTTCACTACATCGATCACTTCTGAAGATTGTATATGCTAGTATTTTAATTTCAGTATCTAAAATATGTTTGGATAACCAACTTTCGATTAGAATTAGTAAATCATAATTTAAATATAGAACGGAAGCTATAAGATCTTGAAGTTTAGTACGAAGACCTCCTACATTTTGGCAATATATTTGTAATGGGGATGAGATTAGTTTTTTGTGGCCATTTTTTCAATTTTTGGGATGCCATTTCTGTATCTAATATCACTTTCTCCTTTCTCACGCCTTTCCTTAAATCTTTCCACGCCTTAAGCATGTCCTTTTGTACTTTTGTGAAATCGTTGTTTATTTTGATGGAAGAATTTTGTAAATTTCGTTTACATCTTAACAGATCTTTAACTTAGGGTTACCGTATTCAAAAATGCAATTTCCTGACATTCCTAATGAAAATTCCGGACATAAATTTTAAAAATCCTGACAAAAATTTTAAAAATCCGGACAACTCATGAAATAATAACTATATGTTTTATTTAAAAAAGTACATACCATCAAAAACTAAGAACAAAAACAGTTCAATTAAAAATTCATGAAATTAAACATAAAATCCACCAATCTAAGGTTACCATATTCAAAAATATAATTTCCTGACATTCCTGATGAAAATTCTGGACAAAATTTTAAAAATTCGGACAAAATAAAACTTCAACTCATGAAATAATTACTATGTTTTATTTAAAAAAGTATATAGAACAGAAGTAAAAGTTGGAAAGGCTTTTGCCAGTTCTCACACCTATACACATAAATTGACAGGTTTGCAGTGGATCTTACCGAAGTGGACGCGATACATTGGCGTACAAAATTATTTTATAGATGTTAATAACAATTTCGAGTAAATAATTTAATAAATTGTGAATAGCTGTTGAAATTTTGTAAAATTATGATTTGAATATTACAATACATGTTTAATAATTATTTATAGTCCATAAATACATGCGATTGTCCGGTTCCGCCGATAACAATTTAAAATTACTTATTCTATGAAACGATGACACTGGCAGGTAAACATTATACTGCGAAATTCTCGAAGACGTCCGACGTAGTTTGACGTTTACCCCCTCTCTACCTACCAAAAGCCTTTCCAACTTTTACTTTCCCTATACCATCAAAAATTAGAATAAAAACAGTTCCTCAATTAAAACTTCTTGAAATTAAACATAAAACCCACTAGTCTAGGATTACCATATTCAAAAATACAATTTCCTGACATCCCTAATGAAAATTCCGGACAAAATTTTAAAAATCCGGACAAAATATTAAAACTTCAACTCATGAAATAATTATTATAAGTTTTATTTAAAAAAGTACATACCATCAAAAACTAAGAACAAAAACAGTTCCTCAATTAAAAATTCTTGAAATTAAACATAAAACATTCAAACATTTCTATTATAAAATACAAAAACCGTCTATTAAATATTTACATAAAAATAAATTATAAAAATGAAAACTGCCAAAAGAACTAACTGTTTATACTGGATTTTAAGTATACTTTAATGCGTTTGATGAAAATTCCGGACAATTTGTAAATCCTGGCGCATTCCGGACAGAACGTCAAAATTCCGGACATGTTCGGACTTTTCCTGACGTCTGGTAACCCTATTTAACTGCGTTGTTATTTATTAGAATAGCTTTGAAAGGTCGAGGTCTAGCCCCTTCTGGTTTACCCCCTCGAATAATTTTAACCATATCGCTGCTTATTTCTTCCTTGCCCATTAGATTTAGAGTTTCTTCTATTCTTTGTCTATCCTCTGTTATTCGTTCTTCAATATTTTTGGATTGGGATTCAGGAACATTAAAAAACAACATTATTGGCTTTTATAATTCTTTCATTAATCTCTGAAAACATTTTCTCACACAATAAATTATCTACCTTCTTAATTAACTCTTCAATTCTCCTATCTTTTTCTTGTAGAGTTTTATCATTGGCCTGTTTAAGGTTATTTACTTCGGTCTTTAAATCCTCAACAACTTTCTTGTGTCTGAGGAAAGCTGTAGGCACCTAACTTCTGAAGCTGTTACATTAGCACAAGTTATATGGAGAAATCTTTTGCAGCCATCACACTTAAATGAAGAGTTATCGTCATTCACATCCTTCTTACATTTCATACATGTACTCTTGGCTATTTATTATAACATCTACTAAAAATAATTAAGCACGGCACTGGACTTCACTATTTGATTTCTTCTAACAGATTATTACTTTAAGGGTGAACGTCTGCAACTTTGCAGATCTGCAAATATGGCGGCAACTTTGCAGATATAGCGGCAACTTTGTAGATCTGCAAATATGGAGGACTTGCAGATGCAAATATAAAAAATATCTGCAAATTGGCAATATTTATTACCCCTAACAACACTTAATCCAAATCCACCCTTAAGAAGGTTAGAACATCCTACAACCATGAAGTCTTCTATTTATTTTGATTGAAAACAGTTTATTGTGTCAGATTATCGAGTTTTTAAACATAGTTATGGATTTGGGTTTAGTGTTATTGGGGGTAATAAACCACAATAAATATTGCGAATTTGCAGATCTTTTTTGGAATACGAAAACTTGATACATGCATATGCAAGTCCGCCATATTTGCAGATCTGCAAAGTTGCAGACGTTCTGTAATCTCACCCTTAGTTTGTGTCTTGGCACCAAAAAAAAAGTCTGTTTATATTAAATGTTGCAAATTATATCAAATCACGAGATTACTAATAATTTTATAGCAATTATCACTTGATATTTTTATAGCCTATGATATTATGAATTTTTTGATATAAATTTTGACTAAAATACTTCACAATAAACTTGAAACTGACTTGTTATTTGAGAGCACTGTAAAAATACGTCTGTCTTTAAACTGTATATATTCTATTTTATTCTAATTTGGTTAAGATGTGGCATCTCCACGTTTTTGAAGTCGGTTTTTTTTAGAGTTGTATCTTCATTCACCAGTGTAGATTCCAGCAAAAAGATTAGTCAATAAAACAAAATATTAGTTTATTCTTTGTAATTTACAAAAATAAGTTGGTCCATAATTTTGATTAACATGAGGTACAACTAAATGACCATATTTCAGTATATTTTTGTCTGCAAACTTATATACACTTTTGGTTTGCAACAACGCTGGTGAAAGATCTCTAAAAATGAAAATTAACCATTCTAAATAAAGTTTTTTTAGGAATTTAAACATTTTATACTTACTTCACTACTATTTCCATATTAGTTTCTTCCCAGGCCTGCTTCAAAGCCATATGGACTACTCCATCGTTCTGAATAGGACTTAAAGAACATGTCGAATATACTACAATCCCACCTTTTCTTACTAACTGTAAGGCATGGTATAAAAGTTCTCTTTGGAGTTCAGGTAGCTTCAATCTTTCTTTTATTCTAGTAGGTTTAAAAATATTGTTATCATTTTCATGTAACGAGTGTCTGTCCGTCGTACATGGTACGTCTACCTAAAATGTCAGTTCTTATACACCAAAGTCTCATTTTAATCCCACAACTTACTAATATTCTGTCAAAGTTTTCTCCTTCGATCGCCCTCCCATCAACATTGCTCAATCTAATTTTACCGCTTTTAAGCCATTTTTCATCGAAATCAAACAAAAATTCATTGAAAACATTTTCTATCCTGTTTACTCTAGAATGTGACACATCGTTGGATACCAGTCTATCGGGATACAACGTTTGTAAAGCTAGTAAACTTTTGCCGCCAGGAGCAGCACACATATCCAAGATTTTGTGTCCCGGTTTTAAATCTAATGCCAAAATAGGTAAAATGGATCCTCCGTCCATTAAATAGTAGTTTAAAACGCCTAAAATGTGTTATTGAATTTCTATTTAAAAGATAATCAACCCTTTGTTTTTAATTAAAACAATAATGGTGAATAATTAATATTTATCCAGAGTTGGGTAAAGTACTATTGCAATAAAGAACTTTCTAAGTAATTACTTTTAAAGAATAAGTATTTGGAGCACTTTGTAAAAATGCTTGTGGCTTTAAAGCCCTTCGTCAGTATTTCAATTACTTGAAAAATATACTAAAAAAAGTGTTTACGAATTTAAAATTATATAGGACGATATCAAAAAAACTGTGCAAAAATATATTCCCGATTATTATTAGGCAAAAACTTATTTTATTGGCATCGATGCAAAACAGTAATATCGATACAAAGCAGTATTAATAACATCGAAATTTTCCAAAATATTTAAAAGATAATAGCCAAGATCTACCTACTTTACATAAAATATCCAACAATAAATTGTTTATAAAATATTACAAAAAAGCAGATTTTCCAAAATTATACAACGCACTACTTAATATCAATTGAAATTTTCTTGATTCTGCAAGCAGCTTTGATGAAAGTGTTCAACTATTGAACAATAAATTGTTTATTATTTTTAATAAGCATATACCTGGTAAAAAACCTAACCTTAGGACCTACCCTCCTTGGTTTAATGGTCATATAATACTCATGATTCATCAAAAAGAAAAAGCCCGAAAAACCTACAAATCTGCTTATTCCATAGATTAAAGTGACCACCCGTCCTGATTTAGACGGGACAGTGCCAATTTGAAATCACTTGTTCCGATTTTGATCGATTAAGAAAAAAAATTAAATATTTCATTTAGGCAGTCTGAAAATTTTGATGGTGCCGGGACAACGCACTTAAATGTTCCGTTTATCCTTTTTTTATGCTCTTTAATGAATTTTGATGGTGACGGGAACAACGTACCAATGAATTTTGATGGTGACGTGAATGCATTTAAATTATTATGTTTATGCATTTTTTGCTCTAGAATGAACCAAACCGCCATTGTCGAGAAATCTCCTCCATGTTAATGTGTCCCTCATTCTACTTTTAAAATATGGTCACTTTACCATAGATGCATTTACTAAATTTAAGATCAATTGAAAATAATATTAAAAATGATCGAAAACAATGCTGGTCATACTTAAATTCTAAAATTTCTTCCTATTCCATACCCACTACTGTTGAATATAATAATGACTGTATAGAAGATTCACAGTCAATTGTTCAGGTTTTTGCAGTTCAAGCAATTTCTCCAAGCCAACTCAAGTAAATCACTTCATCAACGAATCTACCATTAATTTACCTTTGCTTCACTTTAATTCTGTATCTCAATATGAAGTTATTAGAGCCCTAATATGTCCAATATGTCAAGGGTACTGACCTTATTCTTTTGTTTCTTGTCAGAGACTGTGCACTAATTTTGGCCACTCTGTTGAAACATATTTTTAATTTAATTTTGAAAACATGTATTTTCCCTACTGCCTGGAAAATTTCCAGAATTACTCCGGTACATAAAAAAGGATGTTTGTAATTATCGGCCCATAAGCATTCTTTGCAATTTTGCTAAAGTATTCGAAATAATTACTCACGATCGTATTTCCAATCATGTTTCCCGTCTTATATCTTGTGACCAACATGGATTAATGAAAAATAGATCTACAATTACAAACCTTGTATGTTCGACGCAATTCATTTCATAAGCCTTGGATAGAAGTCAAGTTGATGTAATATACACATATTTCTCAAAGGCCTTCGACAAAATTGATCATTCTATCTTGCTCCACAAGCTAAGTTTCATTGGTTTATGCGATCAAATCATTCAATTAATTGCTTCGTTCTTGTTGGGTAGGCATCAATATGTTCAATGTCGTAGTTACAGGTCAAAAAATTTCGAACAAACATCAAGAGTTCCGCAGGGATCAATTTTAGGTCCCCTTTTATTTATAATTTTTATAAATGATATAGTCGCTAATGTCGAGCATATTAAAGTTTTAATGTATGCAGACGACCTAAAATTATTGCTTGAAATCAATTGTTTGCGACTTCAAAAGTGTTTGTCCGACATTGCGAAGTGGTATCTCAATAATTCACTCCCTCTAAATCCTGAGAAATGTTCTGTAATGTCCTTTACTAAAAAAGTAACACCTATAATTTTTGAATATAAATTACAGGACGTTGTTCTAAATCGACCCGAATTTATAAGAGATCTCAGAGTTTATTTTGATCTTGAACTAACGTTCGTTAAACACATTGAAACAATGTTATCTGCTGCTAACAGAAGCTTAGGGTTTGTTATTCGAAGCTGTAAAGAATTCCGAGACATATTCACCTTAAAAATTCTATATATTAGCTTTGTACGGTCAAAACTTGAATACTATTCTGTTTGGAATCCCATGCATAACATTTATAGTGACACTTGAAAAAGTTTAAAGAAAATTCATGAAATAGGCTTCCTACATTTTAGATGGTATATACCATACGAGGGGATATCCCCACGATTTACTAATATCTAGATTCAATCTTTCAGAGCTCATGATATGCAGAAATTTCCAACAGGTACTCCTACTTTATAATCTTTTAAATGGCTCAGTCGACAGTATTAATTTGTTAAATTACGTTAATCTAAAAATCCCCCGTGCTGATTTAAGAGTTTACTGGAGTTTCTACATGCTAGCTTCTAGAACTAATGTTTTAAACTCGTCTCCAATGTACCAATCTATTCAAAAATATCATGAAATTCAAGACAGCTTGGATACTTTTGCATGTAACAAATATGATTAAAAATGTTTTTTAACATTGTAAAAAAAATGATGTAAAGCATGAAATGCAATGTAGACAACCATTTTTTTTTATCCTGTGTTCGGTCAGTTTTTTTCCTGGATGTTTACATTGTATTCTATGGATTTTTAACAATTTTGTATTTGTAGTTTTATTCAAATGTTTTGTATTTACCACCCAGTAAATGGTGATTACTGTGGAAGGTGTAACAAATAAATAAATTACACTACTTTATCGTCAAAGGCTCCAATTGAAGGAATCTGTTCTCATTCGTTCTATAATAATTTGACAAGAAGGTACGATTTGAGAAATCAAAATTTTGAAAATTTTGTTTTAATAATAAATAATAAATGTTATTTATTAACACCCAACAGATCATTGACCAAAGTCAATTTTATATTTTGTTTTTATGAAAGTAAAATATATATTTTGTTTCTAATTTTCTTCATTAGTGGCAATATGCCTTAATCGTTAGCTCTTAGTATAAAATAATGTCTGCCTTATGCAACTCTTTGTGGAAATCAGGGTTGGAAAAACCTAAGAATTAAAGAATATATAAATAGGTTTTTTGGTTATTTAGTTTTTTAAGGTTTATTAGGGTTTTTCAGAGTTTTTAGTTCATATATGTCAAAAGTTATTAATAAAGTTAAACAAAAAGCAAACAAGCAAAACTTGAAAAATATAATTTTATATAAAAAAAAACTATCAATATCAATAAGTGTAACCTTGATGAAATGGTTGCATTTGTTTTTATATACATATGTAGTAAAATTCTGAATTCTTAATATTTATCTTAAAAAACCTAAAATTGTAAAAATTTTAAAAACCTAGGTGAAAGAAAAAGTCTACCTGCCAACCCTGGTGGAAATGTTTTTTAATAAAACCCTCAAAGGACTTCAAATACTTTCAATAGGTATTTGGTGCTTCATATTTCAAATACTGTGCTTGGTAATTGGAGCATTTAATTGGAAATTGATACTTTAAAAAACTGTAACAGTGCTTTACCCAGCTCTATCATATATGGCATGTAAATAGTGTCAAGTAAAAAATTAATGTGAATATTGTCTTTTTTGTTAATATACATACAAACCTGTTGTTGATTTTTTTGGTGAATCGAAATCACTCTTGTTGCCCTCTTCAAAGCAGTAAATATTCAAATGTTCTGGGAAATGAAAGTCGAACTCTCTTTCTACTTTAACATTGAATTTTGTATTCTGATCATACATTTTATAGTGACTAGATTCTAGAAAAAAATCCTCTTTTCCTTTAATCTTTGTCGCAGGTATGAATTCATGTAAAAGTTCAGTCGATAGAGCATCTTGAGTATTTATTAACCGCCGTGTATCGAATTCTGCTTTTTCAAGACTGGTTTTTAAGGAAAAATCTTTAGCATCAAATGTTTTAGAACTATTTTCAGATTCTTTACTATCTTTCAGTTCGTTTTCTAATTCCGCGTCAATTTTAAATATTTCCTCTAAAGCTTTATCCCGTTTATTTTGATTCAACTGTTCCTGAATATAGCCTTTCTCTAAATTAAATAAAGTACGCATATTTAAAGCACCTCTTAGTTCTAAATCTCTTTTAGTTTCTTCGATATCACCATAATAATTAAGTACAGCAACGTATTTATGAGCTTTTTTTAATAAAGCTTTACGAATTAACAACCAATTTTTGCTATAAACTTGCTCGTAAAAATCGTCGAAATGATTTAGAGCTTTATCAACTGCATGAACTTTTTTTCGTACTACAGACTGAAAATAAAGTGTTTTTATTGTTATAAAAGATTGATGAAAGTCTGAACTTACCCAATGGGTATCGGCATGCTTGTATCTTGTTAAATTTTTGGTTTGTTTAGTTATGTGTTTAAAAGTATTTGAAAAAAACATTTTTTTGAATTTTGAAAATATTTTGACATTTCGTTAACCTCTTTAAATCTTCTTTTTATATAGATATAGCTCAATTTTTAAGAACATCCAGTGACTGTTGAGGATGCCTAATCAAGTAAGAGGACATGTGAAAGAAGAAAGCTTAATGGTCTTTTTCATATAAAACTTTCGGCCATTCGTAATTGACAGCTCACATTTTCAAAATTTAATACAAATAAAGCGTTTTCAAAGGATTTTAAAAAGGTAAGGTGTAAATAATTAAGAGACTGTTAAGTGAAGTAGTATTCTATTGCAAATACATACTTAATATTACTATATACAAGTAAACGAACAAAACTATTGCATAAAATGTGTACCGATTGGGGGGCATAAAAAGGGGTTCATTGTCCTACAAAATACACTTACAACATACCCAAAAATAATAAATCTGTGTACACAACATCTCCGTTCATCATACGACCGGACCGAAGTAAAAATCTTTCTCTTGTTATAAAGCGGACATTACTATTAGCTTGGGTAGCGAGGAAACGAAATGATAAAAAAATATACACTTATGGACACAAAAACAAAAAGTTGGAGAATAAATAGTTTACTAAATATCGATCTTTGAGTGATTTTTTTAACACAGCTCATTAAATAATGTACATTTGCAGAATGAGTCTTCTCACAAGTTCTTTGAAATTATTGATGACTGGTACAAAGGGACAGACAACATTATGGACAACAAAAATAATTTAAATACATTGAAAAACTAATTTGGAATAACATTTTTGTGATAAGCTGAATTTTTAGCTCATATTTGAAGATACAATGGAGTACCTGAATCAAATCCAAGGGATTCGATGAAAAATTGATAGGCAAACGAAATTAAGCAAAGCAAACATACAGTATTATCATTAAGGTCTGCCATCATATGTTAAATTTGACAGGTAAAGCTGATCGACAAAAAAAAATCGTCACTATTTTCGAAGCAAAAACTGTTTATGAACTGTAAATTTACAAAAAATAAATATAAAAGATTTTAATTGGGGGAATCCCAACCTCCTTATTCACCTGATATCACCTCTTTAGACTCTCTGTATATAGCAGCATGACCATTTCCCAACTGACAAGTTTGTTTGTCACCAAATTAGTTATAGTCTGATAATTTAACAAACCTTTGCGATTAAAATCTAGTACCAATAATCAACGTTTCAAACAAGCAAAAAACAAACAAAAAAAAATACTAAAATCGACATATTTCTAAAAATATATTTACAGGTCATTTAAAAAATAAATTGCAAGAAGACAGTTTCCGGCATTATTAAAATTAGAGTTTGTTTTTTTAATTTTTAGTGGGAAAGCACATTAGAGAGCGTTTCGATGTGGTACCCACGTCTTTTCGGTGTGGTCGAATCGAAGCGCCAGCCACTGCTGCTCCAACAGCTTGTACCTGGCCGTACTGAGGTACAACGGTTTACCTCGTCTGCAAATTAACAAAATACGTTATAATAAAATATTAAATATAGTACAAATCCGACCATGTGATTACAATTTTTATATTCCATAAAACTTATAATAAATAAATTATAAAAGCATTTATTGCCTAACAGTTTCCCATTTACAAGGCACATTTAACAATATAAAATTAAACTAAGAAAATATATAGGATAAGTAAATAAAAAATTATAATAAAAGTAAAAAAGTAGAAAATAGAAAAAAATTAATATGAATTCAAAAATAAGCTCTTGATTTGTTTTTTAATTCACATATACTGCAACAGAAAATGTCACAAATATTTGATAGTTTGTTTGCATTACTACACATTAAGGTAATTGGCGCTTTTGACAACAAATTAGTTTGAGCTCGTTTACTTAGAAATGTAATGTTATGTCTAGATGTTATCCTAGGTACAAAAAAATTTATTTGAGAGAGCAAACAAAGCGCAGTCAATTTCACCATTTAACAATTTATGCAAACAAAACAGATGCCCGATTTTTACGTGTTTCTAATGATACAGAACCAAATTGGTGTAGTAAATCTAGGTAGTTACAACCTCTTAAACTTAGAGGATAAAATCCATTTAATTTTTTGAATTTTCTCAATAATGTCTGAATAATGAATGTATACAGGATGCCATATTATTGATGAATATTCTAATTTTGTTCTAACTAAGCTAAAATATAGGGAAGTTAATGCCGAGAGATATTGAAATTCTTACAATTCCGGATTATAAAATCATATGCAGGGTAGGCGGAATTTTCAATAGAGTTAATGTGGTAGTTAAAAGTAACTTGATAATCAAAGTGAACACCCAAATCTTTAATAGTGTCTGTTCTTCCCAAAATAATATTATTAATGGAATAAGGAGAATTCAGAGAAATATGTTTGCAGCTATAAGTTACAATTTTACATTTAGAAATGAAGACACAAGTGGATGAAGGGCATATGTAACATTTTTTTTTAATGGTGTTTTTCTATGAAAGAAGGGCTTTAACACGAAATATCTCGTAAAAATTATTTTGCTATATAGGTCCTTCATCCACTTGTGTCTACAAATATATAAAAAGAGGCGATTTTTGTGACACCATTCCTGCAATAGGTTCATTTGATTTTGCAATGTTAAACAATCATATGTACTAGAGATACTGGTATATAATTTTAAGTCATCTGCAAACATTAACCTATTGCATTCAAGCGAGTCACACAAATCATTAATTAATATTAAAAACAATAATGGCCCTATATTGGACCCTTGAGGAACTTCACTAGTTGAAGTAAAGCAATTAGAATTAAATCCATATTGTTTGCGCTTAGTTAAATTTGATTTAAGACGATGTACATAAGTAATATCAAAACCTAAACTAGAAAGCTTTTGCAGAATTATTTTGTGACTGATTTTATCGAAGGTCTTAGAGAAATCGGTATATATACTATCTAATGATTCACAGAGATATTGACTAAAAACTGCTAAACAGTTGAACGAGAAGTCATAAATCTATGTTGATATACAGATATAAGATTTTTAGCAGATAGATATGGTTATACAAGATGACCTCTAAAAGTTTTGCAGCGTTATTAAGAATGAATATTGGCCTATAATTGTTTATAGCAGCGCGATCTTGAGATTGATGTTGAGATTGAGTCTGTTGGAAAGACTGAAGTAATGACTAGATTAAAAAGAGTTTGTATTTATATTAATACTATTAAGCAATCTTTTAAGAGAAAAGAAGGTATTTTGTCTGAACCCGAGGCGAATTTATTTTTTAATTTTTTGCCAGCATCTAGGATTTCTTTTTCCGTTATTGCTTCACTACTAATATTTAATAGCATATTAGGATCATAGTTAAGTTACAAATTCAAGTCTTCACTATTTTCTGGCAAAGAATAGACACTTTCAAAGAATGTACTAAATGTATTCACTATCGAATCAGGATTATCATACCATTCATCATTATAGAACATTTTACCAGGAAGTTTTCTTTTAATTATTTACAAATTTCCAGAATAACTTTGGTTCACCTAGCTCTGTGGTGCACTGTGAATAGTTACGTTTTCTCAGAGTATCTCTGTGATGAAACTAGCCCTGTTTCTCTTCTGTATTGTTCCTCTCTTCTGTACCCCTACGAAATTATGAAAATTGCACTGTTATTTTTTTCTTTTCTTTGTCAGCTTTTTCAATTTTTCTTTGGTTTGTTTTCACTTTGGGATTTTTAATTTTCATATTTCTAAAATTATTTCATTTCAGTTTTTCGGATCTCACTTCACTTTTCTTTCAAGTTTACGGCGGACCGTACTCGAAATCTTAACACTGGTAAACGAATTATGGATCTTAGAAATTTATTCTAGTACAATTAGATTGTCGTTCTTCTACACGATGCACATGGGTGGATTTAAGAAGAATTGAGAGCTGGAATTGGGATTAGAATTTGTGTTTACGCTGATTGACTTCAAATCTACGAATTCCGATATCGAAACCGTGTATTTCGATATCTTAATTGGTAAGAGCAGAGATGGCCACAATCGGAAAGTTCCAGATTCAACTGCCAGTCGATGCATTCATTTTTTTTTATTTTCTTTAATTATCAGCTCTGTCAATTTTTCTATAGTTAGTTTTTACGTTGGGGATATGAGGGTGTAATTTTCATAATTTTGTAGGAGGAATTGTGGATTTTTTATTTTCATATTTCCAAAATTGGATTTCAAACTAAATATGTATTTTTTAGACATAGTCATAAGGAAAATTGTTTCTCCTAAAGAAATTGACCTGGATGGTGACTTAATTGAATTTTTTTTCTATCTGTCTATCTTTGTCTTATAGAATCAATCATAAATTATGGGTTAGTTGTTTGGGGTAATGCTGGTAGTACCTTTGTCTCTAAGTTACAAATTGCACAGAAATACATAATTAAAACCGAACTGGTTTATAAAGATAGTAATTTACAAACTCCTTATCAACTTTATTTGAAATCGATAATCAGATTTATGTTAAAAACAAACCATTTTAAACAAGGATTGTCTCATAGCATTAATACTAGACTGGCTGCTAAAAAAGATTTACAATTGTGTTATGTGAATTATTTTCTTATTTTCTTTGTTAACACTATTTCATTGTATTTTATTTTATTGCATTTTATTGTATTTTATTGTATTTTATTGTATTTTATTGTATTTTATTGATTTTATTGTATTTTATTATATTTTATTGTATTTTATTGTATTTTATTGTATTCAAAACAGAATTAAATTAAATAAATAATAGATGAGTAAAGTAATCTCACAGTCGGATCTTAAACTAACAGTGTATATCTCAAAAAATCTTACTTCAAATCTCTATCCTCCTCCTCGAAATCGTCCAGATACAGCGACCCCCACAAGCAGGCCCTGTGGCCCCTAATGACTATTATGTAAGTTGAAGTGACGACTAGAAAAATGCCGGTACCGGCTCCGCATTCGGCCGCGTGAGCGACCGCTTCGCATACGTTTTGATGTTTACAACAGTTCTGCTTCAGGCAAACGATCGTGCCGCAAAGCAAGCAGATGCTCGTCTCTTGAGCCACCGACTGGCATTGGCGGCACGGACGCTCGTGATAGTACTAGAAAAAAAAAATCTGCGTTAAAAACAGGAGTACCATGATAACCACTAGCGTGACAGATGTCATTAATGAGAATCAATATCGTGACAAATTACATTACTACATAATTATATTACAAATGACAACAATGACATTAATGACTTACCGTAAATATCCGCTCGTACTCCCTGGGCAACTGCAGCAACCTCGGCGGGTACCACAGCACGTGCTGCTCGGCCAAAAAACCTTTGGCGGCCAGCTGGCTCTTGCCGATGAATACGCCTAGCTGTTCGCACCATCCTCTCGGCGTTCGAATCTCCAATTCCAACTCTCGCGGCCACGTCAGAGCCACCGACGCATTGAACCAGCCCCAATCCATCGATTCGGTGACCAGTTCGAGGTAGTACACCAGTCTGACGAATTCGTTGTTCGGTTCGAAGATGTCCGGTAAAGGTTGCTGGTACAGGTGGTGTTTTAGTAGCGCGGCCATGCGAAGGAAGGGTAAACACAATTTTTGGACCTAAAGATAATTATTTTCAAAATATTGATACAATCTAGAAAATACCAACGAAATACAAAGACTGGGGACATATTCTTGACGGTGACAGAATAAAAGAATCGAGAGAAAGTGGACGTGGTTCTACTGGAATTTCACAAATCGTATTGTTGAGGTTTCTATTAAAAAATCAATAGAACATTCGTTCTTAGTAGAACCAAATGCTTCTCTTAACAGTGTCTAAGAGAGGAATTTGGGAAGTGTATTCATTCCACACATAGATAAAGAAATTCAGAGTTTTTAACTTAAAAATTAAATGACTGACAGAAAGACACTGTAATTGTCAATTTTAATAAAATAAAAATAGTCCAGACGAAATACCCACAATTTTATTAAAAAAATGTTTTGGGAGTTTATTCCAACCTCTATTACATATTATAATTTTTTCTATTGAAAGAAGCTTAGCTCCGAACGATACTAAGATGGCTACAATAGTTCCGATACCAAAAATTTCGAATCCAAGTAAGGCTACCCATTTAAGACCGATAAATTTGATCAGTGCTGTTGGAAAACTAATAAAAAAAGTAATATATCTTCAAATTATTGATTATTTAAAGGGGAACAGTTTGATAAGTAATGTTCAATCAGGATTCCGTAGTAAACACAACTGTGAAACTGCTTTACAGTTGGTTTTGCATGACTGGAAGTTATAAATTGAAAATAATTTGATTACACTGGCGGTGTTTTTAGATTTACAAAGGGCATTTGAGACTATTAATAGGGTTTGGTCATTATGTGGAAAATAGGAAACATAAGGTTAAGGTAAGTTATTATGTCTAAAGAAAATAATTTTTAGAAACCTTACCTGCATCTCCAATCCCACCATATTGACCTTGACGTTCTTATCACTAGAACTGCAGGTGTCGTCATTTTCCATGTACAAATCCGTCTGTCCCAAGCAATCGTTGATTAAACCTAAAGCGTCCATGAGATTATTAACGCGCTCCCGATTGGCCCCCGAAGCTGCGGCCGCTCTTTCGGCACTGGTTAAGCCGCAGGAAACTTGAGCCACCACTTGGTAATACAGCAAATTGTACACCACTTGAATAGTTGTAGTGAAATAGGCTGAAAATCGAAAAAACTCCGATAGTATCAAATCGAGCGATGACAACGGTCGTACTTACTTTGATCTAAAGGTAACGGGAGTAGCAGTACATATTGCAACAGCAAAGCTATGGGATCTCTTAGTAGAAGAGGCACTTCTCGAACCACCGGCTCCAAAGTCATTACAGGCGTCTTCGGTGGTATTCCGCACAATTGCTGGAAGCTCATCCAAGCTGGCCACATCGCCAATATGCGGGCGACTCGCGCGTGAACCGCCAACACGTGCAGAAGTGGAACTACGAAAAATTAGTCACATATTATGCTGGTACATTCACGAAATTTGATGTTATAAACAAATGAAAATATTATAGTTCTCAGAAACACGATAATTCATTTTTTTTTACGTTTATTCTTAAAATATTTCACACAATATTAAATGAATGCCAATTTATTGCATAATGTTATATTCTTATTGCATATTGTTATATAACGTATTGTACAAAATTTAATATCATATTCCTGAGCTTATTTATTATTATTATTATTATTATTATTATTATTATTATTATTTCCTTTATTTAGCTAGTTTGCTAATATCACAATATAAAAATTTAGTAAAAATATACATACACATATAAGTCAAAACATAGATAATTTAAAAACAGTTAAAACTAACTAAAATTCTATAGGTTGTTACTGTTTCTGGAGAAATGTTCATCAATTAAGAAATCTGTCACTTTGACTTTAAATGTAGTTACAGACGTTACTGATTTAATTTTCTCTGGAGACCTTTAAAAAATAGTGAATTTTGTGTTGCACTCTTAACAACTGTTTTAATATAAAAGTTATTTATGTTCCGCGTTGGATAATTGTGCACATTAGAGTGATAATTAAGCTTCTCTTTTAGGTACATTTGAAGTAACCCGTGTTTGATTTTATAAATAAAAATTAACGCATTCCGTAATAAGACTTTTGATTGGCATCCACCTCAAAGTTTGAAGCATTAGATTAATGGAAGTATATTTTGAATAGGATAATATTATTCGCATAGCCCTATTCTGCAGCTTCTGTAGTAGGTTCAACTCATTTTCATTTAATAAAAAGAGTATTGTAGAGCAATAATTAAAGTGAGGTAGAATTATAGTATTATAATACATTTAGTCTAAATAGGAAATTTAACTTAAATGCAATAGTTTTGATAACAGTGTTAGCATGATCTATGAATCTTATCTGCTTGTCAATCATTACCCCTAAGTATTTGAATTTTTTTACTAACTGTATAGAATTTCCTCCAATTATTATGTTATATTGTTTATCAACAAACTGTGTATAGTTATAGTTGCTACTTATCAGCATACATTTTGTTTTATTTTTGTTAATATTCAACAAATTATTGCAACACTATTTATAAACATGTTGCAGTGTTTTATTAACAACTCTTACCAAGTTATCTGAATCCTTACAAGAAAAATATATTAGGACATCATCAGCAAACAGGTGAATGTCACATTGATCTTTGAAATCAACAATGTCATTGATATACACTAAAAACAACAGGGGACCCAATATACTTCCCTGCGGAACACCTCTGATATAGTTAATTTCCTCTGACAAAATGTTATTTACTTTTAACTTTTGTTTCCTCTTACTTAGATAATCCACACACCACTCCAATGCTTGCTCCACTATACCCATACTTTTTAATTTGTTTATCAAACGGTTTTGATCAACAGTCTGGAATGCACTTTGAAGATCTATAGAAACTGCCAATGTTAGATAATTTTTATCAAATTTATATTTCCAAATTTATAAAACACACTGGATAGCTGATTCACAGTTATGTTTGTTTCTGAAGCCCGATTGTATTTTAGTAATTAGTTTATTTTGTTCTAAATAATTAACAATTTGTTCATATGCGACCTTCTTAATGATTTTTTCGATACAACTTAACATACTAATAGGCCTTAAATCTGTAGTTATATTTGCATTTTTTGCCTTTGGAACACACTACCATAGCAATTTTTAGAGCATTAGGTATTTTTGAAATTTCTAATGACGAATTTATTAAATTTAAAAGTGGTTCTGAGAGGTTGGGAAAACAGATTTTTAAAATATTAATGTTAATGTAATCTGTGCTACTTTTATTTTTCATTGCAAAAAAGAATGTCTCTTAAAGAATCCACTGTACATAGTTGAAATTTTCTAAGAAAATTGTGTCTGTCTAAAATTTGATAATCTGGTATTGTACGATCAATCATACTGGTAGTCGATTGGATACTGTCTATGTAAAATTTATTAGGAGCATTTGGCATGTCAAAAATATTTTTTATAATAACATTATTTTCTAGTTCAAGTTCAATTAAGTTATTCGATTTATTATTTTTTGGAATCAAACATTCAAGATATTTCCACATTTCCTTTGAATTTTCCCTACTTTCATAAATATTTTTCTCTATGTGTTTACTTTTTCTGTTCTAATTACGTTAACGGCCCTATTTCTATGCATTTTGTATTCATTCCAATTATTTTCTGTTTTTTCTTGTGAATAATTTTTATATGCAAGGTCTCTTGTACCTTGTGGCAGCTTTTACATTTTCATTCCACCATTTTTTGAATTTAGGAAATATTTTTATTTGTTTTTTTTTTTTGGCGCCACATAAATTTTCTTCAGCTTAAGTGCTAAAACAATCTAAAAAAATGTATACAGCTACTGCTAGGTGACCTATTTAAAGATACAATTAAAAAAAAATTGTTTTCTAATATTACCATCATAGAAACAATCCAACAAATTTTTGGAATACAAAATTTAAAATATTTTAAAACCTTTTCACTTTGTACATAAATTAAAGTACCCCCTGTGTGTCTACTTTCACTGTCAACTCTATAATTTTTTTCAGAAACACATAATAAACTTGTTTTTTTTTTTTTGACAACACATAATTAAAGATTTCATCAATGTGGGTCACCAAGCTCTCGGCATTTAAATATAATATATTTATTGTACTTTTTAATTTGGATCTTGAATTTGGGACTTTGTGGGAAAATCCTTATTAATGTGGGTGTGATAGATACATTATCAAAAGGAGGAACAGTTAAATTATTTAAACCTGTCAAATCTATGGAACCCAAGTTACTATTATTAATAGGAAGAACAGTAACATTATTTAAACCTGTCAAATCTATAGAGCCCAAGTTAGTAGACATGTTACAGTTTGTATTTTTAGATTTTACAGTGTTAATAAATTTTAAATTTTTACAGACATTTTTGCTATTACTTATTGCTACACTAATTTTTCGTATGATATCGGACAGTTTTAGTTTGGCACCTAGCTCAGAATTGATATTTACATATAACATTCTACCTTCTATATAATTGTCCAACTTATTCAGAAAATTATCTAATTTCAAATTAAATTTCTTGATTAGGTCTTTGTCACTGTGTCTTCTCAAAATTGGAACAGACACCATTATAAAGTTAATGTGGGTACATAGTTTCAGTTTTGAACAAATATTTCTGAATTTAGGGACCCTGGACATGTCAAAATCATTAGCACCTGCTACCACAATTACAAAATCAGATAATGAAAATGTTTTTACTAATTCAGCTACATTCTCCAGTACATTGTCAAAATTTCCTCCTGGTTTAATAATAGATTGAATGTTGAAACTTTTGAATCCAGGAGACCGTTTTCGATAACAAAGTGTCGATTTCAGATCTATCAACTCGTTTTCGTAGGTTTCTTTATCCTTTTCTAGGGTTTCAATTGAAATTAACAATCTCTTTTGGATGTCCGTTAGTTCCTCTTTAGTTTTCTCCATAACATTATCTTAAAGTAACGTAACGCGCGAAATTAAAACGCCTCACCTTTTGATATTAGGAATAGCGTTCCATTGTAACGGTATAAAGGTCAGTGAAAAATTAACTCAGGAATATGCTATTTAAGTTTATACAGTATGTCATGGAACACCTTATGTAGGTACATAAAAAATTATATTGGGCGCCAAAATTTGTAATGATTTTTTTTATCAAAGTATTACAAAACTTAGAATATCTATACAGTAACATGATAAGTATGACAGGCGATAGAAACAACTGATAACCATGACAGATGAAATATATGATTTATTGACTTACCTATACAATCTCTTTTCGGCAACAAATTCGAACTAGTCGGATATTGAATTAAGGAACCGCCTCTTTGAATGAGCTCCACCTCCAAATTCGTCCTAGCTATCGAAGTGACAATTGAAAGCAAACTCTGAAGGATGATCGGTTTCTCGTTCTTCGATTTAAACCTAGGCTTCAGCCGGGTATTGTTCGACATGTCTTCCATCACTTTACCGATGGCTTCGGCCATTTTCAGCGTATTCTGCAAAGTAATGTCGTTTTAAATTCGACGTTTTATATGAACGGGAAGAAACGACTTACTGGTTTTTTATCGTTTTCTCGTAATAAATTACTAAGTTCTTCTACAACGTGCGACATACATTCACTGGGCCTGGATCGAACCATTTGCGTTTTGTCGCCCAATTGCGACGACAGCGGTAAAAACGAATTTGCTAATTGTCGACATAGGGGACACAAGTATTCGCCCCTAAAATTACACATAAATTAGACCAAAAATAAATAAATATTTAGAACGACAATGGTTCAAGATCCGAACACTATAAACTTTGTTGAATGCCATTGGTAATATCTAACGAAAATAATAATTATTATTAGTAATTAGAGACTTACTTTTCGGGAGACAGAGTCATTTGCCTTTGTTGCGTCCTCAATGACGATAAATAGGAATTTAGACAATCTAAATGGAGGTGGTGACCACACGTTTGAACGTGCGCGCCTCCATGCCAGCCACTATTGCCCGATAGGAACCATGATTCCTGCAAAAAACGTTTAGTTTATTCATAAAATACAGAACGCCGAGCGATAATGACTCATTGTCGCATCGCGTGCGATAAATCAAATTCAAATCGTTTATTTTACATAATTTAAGTAGTACATTAACAGAACATTGTTTGGAATGGATTCTCTAAGTCACGAGTGACTTGTCGAGAGTACATCCACAGTCATTGGGATACTTACCTATCAATTTAACATAATAATACATATAAAATACAAAATAATTTTCTAATAATTATAGAATAAATAAAAATAATCTTGTCAGAACCCAATTATAGGCTGATGCGTAAGTCTCCGCCAGCTGAGTGATACCAAAGACGAAATACTAACCATCCAGATAACTGATAATTTATATAGATATTATTTTTTTTTTTTAATTTATAACTTTAAAATAATTTACTTTAAAAAAGGCAACTTTGTAATTATTGTCTCACTGTTTTCTTTGATCCAGTGAGAAGCTTTTACATTAAACATTTTTCTATTTATTATATATGATTCAATTATACTCACGGGATCGAAGTGCCTGTCCAGCTCGTCGATTCGTCTGTCGTATTCGGCGGCCAGAGTATCGTCCTTTCTTAACATCTCGCTTTCCTCTTCGCACGTCGGCAACACCGTCCGTTCGGGCTGATCGTGTCTGCGCATGTGTCCGATGATGCTCGTCGCCTGCACATTTAATTTTTATATGACACAATTTAAATATACGTCTACAAAGCAGTCGATTACATTCAACAAGTTCCATACGAAAAACCGGTTTATATTATAACTTGGTAAGGAGTCGTTTCATAAATACAATAATGTAAAAAAATAGTAAAAATTTCTTTTCCGGAAGACCCATCACTATTTTAGAATAAAAAACATTCAAAATTTTAATTTTTAGAACCCACAAAATATACACAAAAAATTAATGCTTTAAAAACTAAAAAAGCCAAAAACACACCTGTATCAACACGACCAACCCCATCGGCTGTTCCTCGGTACTTGGCGAGCTCTGGTTACAAATAACACAATCGTACTCCTGCTGCTTAGCCACTTTTTCTACTTCATCACCTTCATCGTCTTCAGTACCCGTCTCGTCGCATTCCATCGCTTTCTCCATGAACTGCTTCTGTTTGTTGGCGAACTCCTGCATTAATTTCTGTTGACGCTCTTTGGCTCTACGTCGGCGCTCTTCGCGCTCGCGACTCTCGCGCTGCTTCTTGGCTTCCTCTCGTTCTTCTTTCGACGGCCAGAGCTTCAATCTGGCCTCCTGCAAACAACGAAGGCAATCCAAATTAATAAGCGTCGTTTGTCAAAATGTCAATTGTCAGGCCTTACGTCAAAATGTCAATTGTTATATGTCAAATATAAATTTTCGTACGTCAAAACGTCAATTGTCATTAGTGATTGCACGGACAAGTCTGAAAAGTTGACTTGTCCAAACACACTTTTCAAAAACGGAAAAGTATATTGCACAGGCGCTAAATTAAATTAACTAATTGGTCTAAATTTCTTACAAACAAAGGCAAAATTTAGTTTAAAAAAGAAGAAACGACAAATGTTTACTGACTTTCATTGCGTTCGGTATGCCAAGTTCCTTTAACACTTTTTACTCCAAACGACCCTTTTAGCGTTCGGTTTCGTCCGATGAGTGACAGTTTAACACGCTTAAATGTCATTTAAAAGCACCCTAAAAAACTCCGCTTTTGTCCCGCTCCAGCCCCTGACTATCCGAACTCGCCTTTTTATAATGTTTTAACGATGTTTTCGAATGATCGTTTCTTAGCTTATTAAAATAAAAACTCGTGAAGAAATTACAGAAAAAATCCAAAAGTTGGAAGTATTTTACAAAATGATTTGCCTAAAAAAACGGAAATACAAATACAAATATTGTTAACAGTGTTTTTGAAAAAACATCCAGGATGGAGATTTAACTGTGTGTCTTCTATGCTCAAGGTCCACTACTTTTCATTACTTTTCACTACTTTTCTGGACATGTCCGTCGGACTAATCCAAAAATTACTTTTCATGAATTCTCTAATCTCTAATTGTCATACGTCAAAATTTTAATTGGTATATATCAAAATGTTATACGCCAAGAGGTCAAATTGTCAAATGTCATACATTAAAATGTCAAAAGTAATAAGGGTATAGTCAGATATTAACCGACTACTAGCCAGAAGTAACCAGTATTTTTTGACAGCTATTCCTGAAAAAACTAATTGCTTGGTTACATTTAGGCCACGGCCGAGATATACATCACTTTAGTGACAGATTGACATTCGATTTAACAGTAACCATAAAAATATAGCGGTTAGTGAACTGACATTTGAGTCATCATTTTCAGGTAAGCACGTCCGTAATTTAACCGATTTTTCAGGAATGTCAAGCAGAGTGGCTAAGTTTGGACCAAGTAACCGATATTTCGGTTAATAACGGACCATACCCTTAATTAAAATGGCAAATTGTTATTCATCAAAATACACCAAAATGTCAATTGTCATACTTCAAAATTACAATTGTCGAAATTTTCATTGTCAAATGTCAAATTTTCATTGTTTTTTTGTATAATTTCGCTTACCTGAATGTAACTCTTACAGCTTTCGTCTAAGGAGGCGATTCTCCTTAGCAATCTAGCGATGTAGAATATGCCGTCGCCGATTGACGATTCTTCGGCATCGATTGAGGTCGACGAACTTTCTTCCTCGTCCTCGGGATTATAACTATCAGGTACACCGGAAAGTTGAGAGTGCAATCTCAACAACAGAGATATTAGGCTTTCATTCACTTTTACGTCCTGAAAAAGCGAAAAATAAAAGAATAACATTATTGGCGAATACAAGCGAAAAGACAAAGGAGAAAGAACTGTTTATTAATAAATGCTTCGCTCCAACAATAAGTAAAAGTCTAAATTAACATATTTTTGTACGAGACTCAAGAATTGTTGGTTTTTTGCGCCATCCTAATAATTAATTATAAGTATTTCAATATTGTTAGTTAAATTTAAATTTTGTATTATAATTAAAGAAAAATTGAATAAACGATTATTACAATTTTTTAAACCTTGTATATTAATATGTATTTTATTTTGTAAATGGTTAAGCTGGACAATTCTGCTGTAATTATTAGAAGAGTGCTTACCCGTAAAGGAGTACTGGTACGTGGCTTCCGGGACCCTTGGGAACCCTGCGAAGTCGTAGGAACTAATTCTCTATTAGAGTTCGACGAAGACGTCGCTTTGCTTCTTCTAACCGCCCTGCCAACTTCGCTGCCGGCTATCAGAGCCAGCCTGACGGCTGAAGAAGGTAACGCGGGCGGGGTTTCAGTCGGACTGGGCGTTGCTGTAATTAAATTAAAAAAAAAAAACGAGATTGTTAAACTCGAGGTCATTAAAATTTCTTACCGATTTCCGTAACCGAAGCAACGGGACCCGTCAACGCCAGACTCATTATCCTATCCACTTCCATGGGCACGGTAGCGGGCGGCGGGGGTAGCGCTAAATTACTTCCATATCCCCCAGGGGGAGTGTCCACGATGGGAGACTCGGGATCGTCTGTCCACGGAACCGTCCTATTACTGCCACTGTAAATTACCACTTCGCGGCTGTCGGATTGTTGCTGAGCGTCGCCGTTCCAAGTACTCGAAGATGCTTCGCCTAACATCAACATAGGATCGTTGTCGCTCGCGTTGCCCATTTCCCCCAAATCAGCGACGTCTATTTCGGTGCTGTCCCACTCGATGTCGCCTAAAAATTACATATCAAGATAGTCAAAAGTCCTCTGCACGCATCTCGTTACCAGACAACTTTCGAGCTTACAACAAGTGACTAGTTTCGGGGTCGACAATTTTAAGTTTAAAATTACACAAGTTTGCAACAATCAACAGACCGTGAGAGCGAATTTCCTACAAGTACAAAAGTTTTGTACTATTATTTATGTATTGCACTATTATTCTTATTATTTATTAATTTCTATTCTTAAATGTTCAGAGTGTTTTTTGTTTGCTGTTGACTTTAAAGTATTTAAACGTGTATAAAATGTAAGAGATTGTGTTTATTACAAATAAAACTATTTTTCAATTTAAAAAAATGTTTCTACAATGGGTATAGAATATTCTTTTTTTTTTTCGATTGTCTTAAATTATCTTTTAATAGTAAATAATTTTCAGTGCACCTTAGTGACAATTCAACTTAACGCCTTTGCAAAACTATGGAACTTTGCAAAAGTTTTACATTTGTAGTTTTCCTAATAATGTTAATAAAAACTGTGAAGAGAAGAAGACCAAAGACCAAACCTTGCGGTACACCGGAGTTTGCGTAAAATATTTTCACAAAAATCCAAGGTGTTATACCTACTGACGTCTATTTTCTGAGATTCAATTGGAAGAAGATTAGATAGTCCCTTAAGACTTTAATTTTTATAGTAGAATTTCTTAATCAATTCTGTTGAATGTCTTAAATAGGTAAAGATGACCTTATATTTAAAGCCTCTGTCAAATATTGAGTAATATACACAAGATTTGACACAGTTGGCATACTCTTCATAAATGTCTAGATTAGATTAGGCACATATCACACATTTGCTGCAAGAATGTCATAACTCTCACTGCTAAAGTCACACATCTGAACTTTCTATAAGTGCCGCTAGATCGAGTCACATTATTATATTTTATTATTCTCCTGTAAAAACGATATTTTTGTGTTATGACGTTCTTGCAGCAAATAAAAGTTCAAATACTTTGAAGAAATTACAAAGCTTGCTAAAAAGTCTATAGTTGTCAATATCATCTTTGATTCCTTTTTTATATATTGGTGCAACATAAAATTTCCATGGCTAAGAACATTGTATTTTTTAATATTAAATGAAAAATAACACAATGGGGTTGATAGAATGTATGCATAATCTTTAATCAAGAAGAAAGTCCCATTATCCCTTGCTGGTAAAGTGAAATTGTTTGAAAAATTGTTTACGTTGAATTTGATAAGATGTGCCACTACTGACGAAACCATACATTAGTTTTTTTTATTAAATACAGTCTATACTGGCATATCTAAAAATGTACCACTTAAATATTAAATCAATTCACACAACTCAAAAGTGTCACTAATACCTAAACATAAAGAACAACAGTAGATAGACAAAGTTCATTCTGCCTCACATAGGAAATTCAATGTGTAAGAGTAAGAGGTACATATTCAATGGATAAGAGTGAGACAGACGGTAAATTTCTTTTAACGTCGAACAGAAAAAACATGTGCAGAACGAAAAGCCAGAATGGCCTTAGCGTGTATCTTTATTGCTATTGGTCCGATTCAAACGGGAAAAACGGCATTAAAAACATGGGCAGAACGAAAAGCCAGAATGGCCTTAGCGTGTAGCTTTATTGCTATTGGTCCGATTCAAACGAGAGAAAAAAAAAAAAAAAAAAAAAAAAAAACGGCATTATGTAGAGAACGATTAACGTTGAAGATAAAAATCCTGCGATTGCCAGAATGGCCTTAGCACGTATCTTCACTGCTATTGGTCCGATTCAAACGGGAAAAACTGCATTATGTAGAGAACGTGGTATAGATTAACGTAGAAGAGAAAAAACATGCGCAGAACGAAAAGCCAGAATGGCCTTAGCATGTATCTTCACTGCTATTGGTCCGATTCAAAAAAAAAAGGCATTATGTAGAGAACGCGGTATAGATTAACGTTTGACGTTTTCGTCTGACGTTTCGGCGTTTTCGTTTTTATTTGACGTTTCACATTTGACGTTTCGTTTCTGCTAGTTTCGAGGGTAAAGTACTAGAATAACTACTGCCACTACTACAGCCGGGTTGGCCGAGCGGTCTAAGGTGTCAAGGTTAACAACCCAGATCTCCGAGAGGAGGCGTAGGTTCGAATCCTACACCCAGCAATACTTTTTTTTTTTCAAAGTAAAATAGGCGCTTCAATCTTTTTTTCTTAGTACTGAGATGTCTAGCGAAGAGAATAGACGTAAAATTGAAGAGATTGCAGAAAAAGTTAGGGAACTGAGTGAAATTTTTTTCTCTTCTACGTTAATCTATACCACGTTCTCTACATAATGCCGTTTTCCCGTCTGGATCGGACCAATAGCAGTGAAGATACATGTTAAGGCCATTCTAGCTTTTCGTTCTGCGTATGTTTTTTCTCTTGTTAATCTATACCACGTTCTCTACATAATGCCGTTTTTCCCGTTTGGATCGGACCAATAGCAGTGAAGATACATGCTAAGGCCATTCTGGCTTTTCGTTCTGCGCATGTTTCTTCTCTTCGACGTTACAAGAAATTTAATTTCCCACTACCCCGTTTTCCCCTCAGACCGTCTGTCTCACTCTTATAAATTGAATATGTATCTCTCACTCTTACACATTGAATTCCCTATGTGAGGCAGAATGAACTTTGTCTATCTACTAACAACATAGTAAATGTGCTGATTATGTGTCGCTATTGGTACAATGCTTTAACGACACATTTGCCATCTCGGGGAATATATGCTAAGTAAAATAGTGAACCTTTTCTTGAAGAAAAGAAAAAACAAACATTTATCTATGATTTATTTTTTTATTTTTTTAGTTGTGCCACTATTGCCTTCGATGAGCGATCTTTAATTTGATTATGAAATTGGTCCTAATTTTATTCTGCTACTGCAACAAGAGTGAATTGTCAATCGTCAGATGCTGTCAAACACCAATTGTCAACAGTCAAATAATGATTTTTATTAAACCGACACTTTTCGGTAATGTTACTTACTGTCCGAGCTATAAGTTATGGGAGAACAAGCTAACTCAACGGCCTGTATCGAAACTTGTCCTATCACTGTCCTAAGGTTCTCAAACACGGAATCGCCAGCGTACCAGCTGCAAAAGTCCGAATTAAGCAACGAATGTTGAGTCGGTGGAGCCGTGGAACACATCTTCGAATCCTGCAATTAATAAAAGATTTCAAAACATTATTATAAGTTTTTGGCGTAAATTGTCAAATTATTTTAATATTTCGCCCATTTGCGAGATTACCGGCACAATTCAAAACTCATAATTTTTGAGATTATTGCACCAAAGGTATACAGAGACAACGACACTTCCGTAGTTATGGTTGACATTTTTCGAGTTTCAGCTTGTCAATCAAACAGAATTTTTAAACTTGATCATATCGAATTGAAGTTTTTTTGAATTGTGCCGGTATTCTCGCAATTTTCCATATTTATTTTAACTCAAAACACATTTATGTTAAATCAAACTTAATTTTAAACTTAATCATCACGAATTGAATTTTTTTTTTTTTTAATTCTGCCGGTATTCCCGCAAATGACCGATTTGTGTAGTTTTTAAAATATTGTAAATGTTTCCATATTTATTTTAACTTAAGACATATTTACGTTAAGTCGAACATCATTTTTAAACTTGATCATCTCAAATTGAAGTCATTAACCTAGATTGCACTAGCAACAAAATAAATGTAGTAATAATGCATTCTTTTTTCCTTTTAAGTTCATTTTATAATATTACTTAGCATATTAAATTACTAATAAAATTAGCTTCCAAATGAAGCGTCACACTTTACCATAGATAATAATTTTTTATCCCGCTAGAGGGCGCTAAATTAAAAGGAACGCAATAAACAGTCATATTGCCGAATTCCTCATAAAATTATATTTCCGAAGATGTATCATATTTGGTACTTTCCCTATTTAAATTTTAGGAGAGAGGAATGACATATGACAGTTGAGGATATTATAGAAAAGTGTCCCCCTTGAAATAAAAATCGTTTCTTCAAAAAAAAATATCCATTTCAAGGTATTTTGAGCTATGGGCGGTCGTCACCCTTAATATTATATTTCAATGTCGCTCACCTCTTTATTATCATCCTTGGCGGCTATCAGTACGGCTTGTTCGAGCAAAAACACCACCAGCGCCATCACGTGTTCGGACACGTAACCCCTGGCGGCTTTAAATAGAATTATCAAAGCGGACGCGTGGAATACGCGAGATTTCAAGATCTGACGGGGGTCTTCGTAGGCCTCCGAAACGTCGGAAGGAGTCCTGAAAGGCGGCCAAAGGCTGCAGCCGGGCTTGAGCTTGTTCGCGTGTCTAGCGCTGAAATAAAATATGTTTAGTTGCATGTTTGGACTTAATAAAGTCTGTTACTACAAAGACGTAGAAAGGTTACATAATATATCTTTTAAATTTCAAGAGTAAAGTCGGAATTCTGAGAGTATAGTCTTAATTTGTGTTTAAAAGTCAAAAATTCGTGTTTAAAGTCGAAATTTTATGTTTAAAGTAGGAAATTTATGTTTAAAGTCTAAATTTGGAGTAAAGTCGAAATTTAATGTTTTCAAGTCCAAATTTTATGTTTAAAGTCGAAATTCTATGTTTAAAGTCGAAATTTATAGTTTAAAGTTGTAATTTTGAAGTCAAAATTCCAAGTTTATAGTAAAAATCGTGTTTAAAGTCTAAATTTCTAATTAAAAATTGAATTTCCAAGTGTATAGTCAAAAATTTCGTGTTTAATTTCGAATTTTCGTTTTAAAAGTCGTAATTTTGAATTAAATGTCGTGTTTAAACTGAAAAATTTAACTTTAATATCGAAATTTCGAGGTTAAATTCAAAATTTCAAGATTAAAGTCAAAATTCCGAGTTGAAAGTCGAAATTCCGCGTTGAAATTCGAAATTCCGCGTTGAAAGTCGAAATTTCGTGTTTAAAGTTGAAAATTCGAGGTTAAGAGTTTAAATTTTGAATTTTAAAAGTCCAATTTCCGAGTGTATACTCAAAATTTATGTTTCGAGTGGAAATGTCGTGTTTAACGTCGAAATTTCAAGGTTAAAGTCGAAATTTCGAAAGTATAATCTTAATTTGTGTTTAAAAGTAAAAATTTCGTGTTTAAAGTCGAAAGTTTATGTTTAAACTAGGAAATTTATGTTTAAAGTCGAAATTTAATGTTTACGAGTCGAAATTTTATGTTTAAAGTCGAAATTTTATGTTTAAAGTCGAAATTTTATATTTAAAGTCGAAATTTTATATTTAAAGTCGAAATTTTATATTTAAAGTCGAAATTTAAAGATTAAAGTTGTAATTTTGAAGTCGAAATTCCGAGTTTATAGTATGAATTTCGAAAAAATTTCGTGTTTAAAGTCTAAATTTCTAATTAAAAATCGAATTTCCGAGCGTATAGTCGAATATTCGTGTTTAATTTCGAATTTTCGTGTTTAAAGTCGTAATTTTGACTAAATTTCGTATTTAAAGTCAAAAATCAAGTTTTAAAGTCGGAAGTTCGGTTTTAACATCAAAATTTCGAGGTTAAATTTAAAATTTCAAAATTAACGTCGAAATTCCGAGTTGAAAAAAGTCGAAATTTCGTGTTTAAAGTTAAAATTTCGAGGTTAAGAGTCTAAATTTTGAATTTTCAAAGTCGAATTTCCGAGTTTATAGTCGGAATTTGTGTTTCGATTGGAAATATCGTGTTTAACGTCGAAATTTCAAGGTTTAACTCGAAATTCCGAGAGTAGAGTTATAATTTGTGTTTAAAAGTCAAAAATTCGGGTTTAAAGTCGAAATATTATGTAGGAAATTTATGTTTAAAGTCTAAATTTGGATTAAAATCTAAATTTGGATTAAAGTCGAAATTTAATGTTTACAAGTCGAAATTTTATGTTTAAAGTTGAAATTGGGTATAAAGTCGAAATTTTATGTTTAAAATTGAAATTCAGAGTTTAGCCCTTTCGAAAAAATTTCGTGTGTAAAGTCTAAATTTCCGACTATATAGTCGAAATTTCGATTTTAAAGTCAAAAATCAACTTTAAAGTCGGAAGTTCGGTTTTAATATCGAAATTTCGAGGTTAAATTCAAAATGTTTAATGCAGACCGTTTACCCCTTCGTATATTACTATTAGAAACATCAATAAAATCGCTTACTATTCAGTGTATCGATCCATAGAAGTCTGGAAATCCCTCCGATGAACGGCTCTAAGCAGCACGTGAATGGGATCGTACTGTTTCTCCCATATTTCGGGTTTGGGCACGTACATGCCCTGCTGCATGTTCCCGCTGGCCTCGAGAGCGGGCGCCCTGTAAAACGCGACTTCAGCCAAAAGAGATTCGAAATCGCGCGACTCCGACATGCCGCACCGTTCCGGCATCAATTCCATCAGCTGCGAATGAGTTTTGTCGCCCATACACAGCAGCGTGACCATTTCCAGCCGATTCAGAGCCGTTTCCGATAGACCTAAAACGTTAAAATATCTTTGGAGGGACTCTGAGCTAACAAATATTCTTAAAAACTCTAAAGACTCGCTCTAAATCAACTTGAAAACTGTTGCAATACTCTAGAAACGCTCAAAAACTAGATCATTCTACTGTTGTGGGTGTTTGGAGAAGTTTAAGAGACCCTTGGAAGCTGTAGGGACCTTTCAAAGTGTCTAGAGACTATTATAGATACTTTAAAACTGCCTGGGAACTGTAAAAGATCGTTTAAAGATGTTGTATACCCTTGAAAACTGTTAGAAGATTGTTGAAAGTTGTTGTAGATGTTTAAAAACTGTTAAAAGTACTTAAGAACCATAAAATATCCTTGAAAGGCGTTGCAAACGTTTGAAAACTGTTGGAAATCTCTAAAAATTGTTATAGATACTTTAAAGTTCTTGTAAATGCTTGACAACAGCGAGAGATCAATTTAAATATCATTAAAATGGTTGAAAAGATAGCTGTTGTAATAAGTATAGGGACCTTTCAAGGCATTTAGAGACTGTTGTATTGTTTGAAAACTGTTGTAGACGTTTGAAAAACTATTTTGGAGGTACTTTAAAACTGGAACACTTGTAGATGCTTTAAAACTTCGTGGAACCATTTAGAATTGTAAAAGACTATTGAAAACGTCTCAAAACTGTTAGTAGTTACCTTAAAACAAAAAGAGATCAATTGAAATCTTATGAAGATGTTAAAAAACTGTAGGAAACGCTTGAAAGCTGTTGTAATCTCTGTAGAGTCCTTTCAAGGCATGTAGGAACTTGTAGATGCTTGAAAACAGTTGTAGATACTTTAAACCTACCCGAGACACTTTAAAACTGTAAAATACCCTTGAAAGACGTTGTAGGCGCTTGAAAACTGTTGTATATGCTTTTAAACTGCTTGGATCCATTTCAGTAAAAGACCGTTAAAAGATGTTTTAGACATTTGAAACTGTTAGAGACTCTTGAAAGATGTTTTAGACTTTGAAAGTGTTAGAGATCTTTAAAACTTGTAGATGTTTGAAAACTGTTGTAGATACTTGAAAAATGTTGTAGATATTTTAAAACTACCCAAAACGCTTTAGAACTGTAAAATACTCTTGAAAGATGTTTGAAAACTGTCCTTTAAAACTGTTAGAGGTTATTGAAAACGGTTGTATATAATTTAAAACTATCCGAGACGCATTAGAACTGTAAAAGATCGTTTAAAGATGTTGAAAACGGTTAGAGATTGTGAAAAGTTGTTGTAGATGTTTGAAAACTGTTAAAAGCACTTTAGAACCATAAAATATCCTTGAAAGGCGTTGCAAACGTTTGAAAACTGTTACGATATCCTTACTGTTGTAGACGCTTGAAAAACTATTTTGGAGATACTTTAAAACTGGGACGCTTGTAGATGCTTTAAAACTGCCTAAAAGATAATTGAAAAACGTCTGAAAACTGTTAGAGGCCCTTGAAAACTATCAGAGACGCTTTATAACTGTAAAATATCCTTGAAAGACGTTGTGGTCGCTTGAAAACTGTTGTATATGCTTTTAAATTGCTTGGATCCATTCCAATAAAAGACCGTTGAAAGATGTTTTAGACATTTGAAACTGTTAGAGACCCTTGAATGATGATTTAGACATTTGAAACTATTAGAGACCCTTGAATGATGTTTTAAACATTTGAAAGATATCTTTGAAAGTTGTAGACGCTTGAAAAATGTAAGAGGTGTCTATTTGAAATTTCTTGTAGTTACCTTAAAACAACAAGATATCAACTGAAATCTTATGAAGATGTTAGAAAACTGTAACAAACGCTTGAAAGCTGTTGTATTCACTGTAGAGCTCTTCCAAGGCATATAGGAACTTGTAGATGCTTGAAAACTGTTGTAGATACTTTAAAACTACCCGAGACGCTATAGAACTGTAAAATATCCTTCAAAACTGTTAAAAGCCCTTTAAAACTGTTAGAGGTCGTTGAAAACTGTTGCATATACTTTAAAACTACCCGAGACGCATTAGATCTATAAAAGTCTTTGAAAGACGTTTGAAAACTGTTAAAGGCCCTTGATAGCTGTTGAAAGCTATCAGGAATCCTTGACAGCCCTTACAAGTTCTTAAAATCGGTAATAAACGTTAAGTAGTTGTCTAAAACACTGTCAGAGGTAACGAAAGCTACTCGATATCTTTGAAAACTGTTAAAACCCGTATATGTTAAATACAGTGCACCAGGAATCCATTTTGGAGCCCTTCGTTATCGTAATTTATACTTCTCTTACCTAAATTCGTTCTGACGCTGACGAGAGTCGCCAAAAACGTGAGGAAACTCTCCAACATCGGAGTGTCGAGTTCCCGATCCAAATTGATGAAAATTCCATCAAAATTCTTTAAGCTCATCCATTCTTTAATGTGAAATCTAAAAAGGACGAACATCGATGCTAGTATTTCGTATCTTATTAAATAAAAAAAAAAACTTACTTTTCTATAACGATTTTGAGAAATTTTTCGGGCCGCAATCGCGTACAACAAACCTGCAGTAAATATAGATCGGCGTCCACCATGGAATTGCAAAAGTTACATTGGATGTACGTCATGGCTTGCCCTTTGATTTGCAAACCGTTCCTCAACCATAAACCGTTTAAAATTTCGTAAAAGGCTACCTAAAAAATATTAAAAGAAACGAATCATTAAACATTTAAATTTTACCGTTAAACACGAAAAATATACCTGCACGCGTAAAGGATGCATCATCAACAAGTCCAACATGAAATCGTAGTATCCCAAAACTTCGTTCACCGTCACACCTTGTACAGCCACGGCTTGGCTTAGAAACACAGCCAAATAACGATGCAGCGGTAGATGAAAAGATACTTGAAGTTTGTCAGTCTAAAATAAAACGTCAGCACATTTAGCTACAATAGTAGAAGGTCTTACAGCTGTCGAAATCCCTTCAAAAAACTCTTCTAAGCAATAAAGTCTCAACGTTAAAGGCACTTGACCTAATAAGAGCTCTCAGGATAGCTGTTAGAGAAACCTAGACAGCATCAAACGATTTTAACAGTTGTTAAAAACCCGTAAAACCTTCAGAAGAGCTTGTTAAGCTGCTGGACAACACTTAGAGACCCTTAAGAGCTGAATTGGTTTCTAGCTATTCAAAATTGCTGTCTTCAGTAATGTTCATTCGGCATCAACAGCTTTTAGAGGACAGTAATAGTACTAGAGACTAACAGCTATTAGATGCCATTAACAGCTATTAGAGTTGTTTGTCAGCTATTAAAAACAGCTTAGTCTTCAGAAACGTTCGTTAAGTATTAGGCATTAATAACTGCTAGAGAACAGTAATATCACTTACTCTTAAGTTATTAGAGAAAGTTTTAAAGGCTTTAGAAGCACTTTACAGCTGTTAAAAACCCTTAATAGCTATTAGAGTTGTTTGTCAGCTACTTAAAAACAGCTTAGTCTTCAGAAACGTTCGTTAAGTGTTAAGCATCAACAACTGCTAGAGAACACTAATATTACTTACTTTTAAGTTATTAGAGAAAGTTTTAAAGGCTTTTTAGAAGCACTTGACAGCTGTTAAAACCCCTTAATAGCTATTAGAGTTGTTTGTCAGCTACTAAAAACAGCTTAGTCTTCAGAAACGTTCGTTAAGTGTTAAGCATCAACAACTGCTAGAGAACACTAATATTACTTACTTTTAAGTTATTAGAGAAAGTTTTAAAGGCTTTTTAGAAGCACTTGACAGCTGTTAAAAACCCTTAATAGCTATTAGAGTTGTTTGTCAGCTACTAAAAACAGCTTAGTCTTCAGAAACTTCGTTAAGTGTTAAGCATCAACAACTGCTAGAGAACACTAATATTACTTACTTTTAAGTTATTAGAGAAAGTTTTAAAGGCTTTTTAGAAGCACATGACAGCTGTTAAAAACCCTTAATAGCTATTAGAGTCGTTTGTCAGCTACTAAAAACAGCTTAGTCTTCAGAAACGTTCGTTAAGTGTTAGGCATTAACAACTGCTTGAGAACACTAATATCATTTACTTTTAAGTTATTAAAGAACGTTTTAAAGGCTTTAGAAACACTTGACAGCTGTTAAAAACCTTTAATAGCACTTAGATATTCTTAACCGTTATTAGAGACTCTTAACAGCTATTGAAAACTTTTAATAGCTATTAGAGAAACTTAACAACTGTTAATTTTTTTTGTAAATGTCAAAATATATTTTTAAAGGTATTCGGAGCACTTAACATCTGTTAAAAACCCTGGAAAGTCATTAGAGATCCATTAACAGCTTTTAAGAACGAATCGAGTTGTGTGTCAGAAACTATTATAAAGGTATGTTACTCAATAACTGTTAAATATTCTCGATCAGCTAATGGAGACAAAAGACAACCTTGATAATAATTGTGAAAGCTACAGAGGAGCCTTAAAAGCTGTTGGATGATTGACAGCTGTCAGCCAAATTTGAGAGTTGTCAGAGAGAGTAGACCAAGTGTCAGAAGTTATCAAAGATGGTCGAACAACTGTTAGAATGTTGAGAGGTATTCGAGACAGGTCAGAAACCATTGTGTAAATGAAAATGCTGCTTGATAGTTGTCTGAGGGCTTTGGATGTTGTCATAAATGGTCGACCAGCTGTTATATTCCTTTAGCTGCAGTCAAACAAGGTTCGTCAGCTGGTAGAAGGTTAAAAGAACTTATTTTATCTTTAGAGTTGTTAGAAGCTTTTAGCAGCTCTCAAAGACAGCCGACCAACTGTTAGAATGTTAAGAAGTCTTCGAGAGATACCAGGAATTCTTGTCTAAATAAAAATGCCTTACCACCATTGTGCTTAAGTACGCGGTGGCCTGAAACCAATCCCTGAGCTCGCCGAGGCACGCGTCCAGGACCCTTTTAGTTAAATGAGCCGTAGAAGCGTCCGTTAGATGAGAAATGAGAGCCCACATGGGGTAAGCGCTGGCTTCTAGTTCGGCGCTGAAAGCGGCGTAGTAGGTGTTCGGTTCGAATTCAATGTGTTGGTTGAGTTCTCGCTGGTTGACGTTCATGCCTGAAAAGTATTGCGTAGTATTTTAAGCTGGAAAAAAGAAAAAACGGCTAGTTTCTACCTTGGAACATGGCGAGGAAAGCAAACCACATCTCGAGAAGTCCGTCGTCGGCCATAAATTTGAAAGCTACCGGCCTGTGGGACAGCACGTTCTTCAAATCGGACACCAACGGCCAGTAGCAGTGATCCTTCATGACGGGCATCGCGCAATCCACGACGTAATGGAAATTTTCTTTAATATCTGTATGAAAATCGAAAATTAAAAACATTTAATTAGAGCAATGAATCGAAATTACCGTGCAAAGTGTTTCTTATCAGAATCTTGCTCATCATGTACTTGAGACTGACTACCATGACATGTAACAGACATAATTGTTCCGTCATTTTCAAAGCGAGCGTTTGGTTGGAAAACAGCTGGACGCTGACGTGGACCACTCTGTTGCTCAACGTATCTGGATCGCTAGAGCGTTCCAGCATCATGGAAATCCGGCTGTAGTGCAGCACTACGGCTCTGGTGAGAGCCTCCTTCGTAAATAAAAATTTATTCAGTACAAATACCCCAACGTAACTATTATAGCCGTATAAAAATTGTAAATATTATAGGTTATTAATTAGGTATTCCAACTTTGGGATCTTCTTTTGCGATCCCATCTTAAATAATTGTAAATTGTATATATTATAGAGTAACAACATGTCTTGTATATAAGGTTGTTGAAACCGCCCAGTATAATTCTCCATTATTCACCATGTATATTTATTGTGTTTGATTGATTTTATTATTTTGTCACTTATTCCTGAGTTATTTCTACAAAGGTATGTCAAATCGAAATAATATCAATAATCTAATTCTTGGTAACAAGTTAATGAGCTTAATCTTTTGCTTTTAGGACTATTGACTGTCATGCAGCCGAAAATTATCAAAGAGTGACAAGTGTTTGATGGATGTCACTATGTCAACGTCCTGTCAAAAACCAATATGGTTGCGCCTGAAGTAACACACAAACTTTTGTTGTTTACATATTTGTCGAAGTAATAACAGCTTAAATAACGAATACTTTGTGTTTTTGAGAGTAGATTTAAAACAAAAACTGTTAAGCGTGTTATTTTAATACAAGTACAAGGCTAAAAAGTGCTAGTTGCTAAAAAGTATGTAATATAATAAGAAAGATTTAGGTTTGATAAGTTTTAGTGTAATATTTCCAACATGCCAGTGATTTGCATGATTGTTTATTTTGGCAACCAAAGTGAGAGTCTTAATTTATTTAAGATTATTCATCAAAGTAGACATTTGTATATTTTTCTTAGTACTATACATAATACTAAATGCTATTACCAAGTATAAACCGAGTTTAGTCTTATTACTAATAAAAAAATAAGTTCACCATAAAGAGACCCTTAGACTAGCTGTACTCACTTTGTAATCCGGATCGGGCAACATGTGTAACAGCAGACAAACGATCTTTTGCGGAAACTCAAATTTAACTGTCCAAAACACCAATTCCTCCAAAAACGTCTTGTGCACCAAACTCTCTTGCAACGACAAGCAATCCTTGTAGTCCTCTATCGGTTCCGGATTGGGTAAAGATTGCAGGGCTTCTTCGTATCGCCGACGCGATTCCACTTGGTAATGTTGGTAGTCCGTCGATGGGTTTTCGGGTACTTCGTTCAACACACGGTATTTCTTGAAATAATAATAAACATATTATAATTTGAACTCATTCGTACGCCACGAATTGCCAATGTGGAAAATTGAGCTGATAAATGTAATGCAATGGTGGTCAATTTGACTACCATTTAATATGATTTTAATTTGAGCGAATTGAAAATTTGATATAATAATAATAATAATAAGCTTTATTGTCTAACAGAATTACATCCATTAATAAGACAATTCAGATAAGAATAGTAAGAAAATATACAAAGTAATTAAAAAAAATATTAGTTTACAAATAAATGAACATTTGATAGGATACAGCCCGCCAAGTTTATTATTGATTAAATAAGATATTTTTCACTGACTTACTAAAACTACATAAAGTTTGATTGAATATATCAATATGTGGACTAATTTTGTTTAGTTCCCTGCACATGATATGTAAAGGCGATTTTAGCATGATATTAGTACTTACTGAGGGTAGGTAGAACAGATTTTTGGATCTGGTATTTAGGGGAACATAAAAATTTAGTTGGTATAATAAATCAGGACAATCAATCATACCAGTAACCAACTTGTACAAAAAAATTAGAGATATATAAACTCGTCTATTCTTGCAAGTTGACAAGTTGAACCTTTGAAGTAACCGAGTGTGATCGAGTCGACGGGTAGGATACACTCCATCCATTTTAAAAGCCATATATTTGACAAATTTACGCTGAACTTTTTCTAAATGTTGAATATGAGCCTCATAATAAGGATTCCAGATTAGGCATCCATACTCTAATTTGCTTCTTATGTAATGGAAGTATAGTAGTTTAGTTGTAGAAGCATTTTTAAACTTATTGCAGGAGCGATATATGAATCCCAATAGTTTTGTGGCAGAAGCAGAAATGGCTGCAATATGTGAGTTGAATGACATTTTGGAATCAAATGTAATCCCTAGATCTTTGAAATTTGAGACGCGAGCAAGTGACATAGATTGAATTTGATAGTTATAGATAAAAAAATCATGCTTTAAGGAGTATGACACAACCTTACATTTTTTTACATTAAGAGGTAGTCTGTTTTCATTGCACCATTGATCAAGGGCAAATAAATCATCTTGCATCTGATGGCAATCGTCATTGCAAGTAATGATTTTAAATATCTTTAGATCATCGGCAAATAAAAGTGTATTACATTTGAGAACAGAAACAATATCGTTGATAAATAGCGAAAATAGCAGGGGAGCAAGATTACTTCCCTGTGGAGCCCCACTTGTAGCTTCGAATAAAAAAGATTTAAAGCCATTCAACTCAACGTATTGCAGTCTTCCCTTGAGGTATGAAGAAATAAAATCAACGAGTTGTCTGTCAAACCCTAGATTTAATAATTTTTTTGCCAATATTAAGTGGTCTAGGCGGTCAAAAGCCTTTGAGAAATCTGTGTAAACTGTATCCACTTGCTGATGATGGTCTAATGCAGAAGTAGTAAAATTAGTGAAGCAAGTTAGATTAGTGATGGTACTGCGCGAACTAAAGAAACCATGTTGGGAAGGATTAATTGAAAATTTTACTTGTGGAAAAATCTTATCATATACAGACATCTCAAAGACTTTCGAAAATCCTGACACTTGACAGATTGGCCTGTAATTATCAACAAGATTTTGATTTTCCTTTTTAAAGATAGGTGTGACCTTAGAGATTTTCCACCTAGTAGGGTAAGAGCAATGTTTTAGAGATAAGTTAAAGATGTATGATAGGGGTTTTTTTAATACCTCAGAACAGTCTCTAATGATGAAGCTAGGTACTTGATCTGGTCCTTGATTCATTCGTGGTTTTAGTTTTTTAAGAGATTTAGATATGTCTTCCTCTGATAATGTAAAAATTGAAATATCGAGTAGTTCATCCCTATTGGCAGGAGATATATTTGTACTATTTGATGGGGTGGTATAAACTGACTGAAAGAATTCGGCAAACATATTAACTATTTCTTGAGGGTTATTTACAGAATTATTATCTTTTAATAAATTATTAATTGTTGGAAATCCATTTTGTTTAGATTTAATATAAGACCAAAATTGTTTTGGATCGGAATTTATGTTATGCTCAGTAAATTCGATGTATCGTTCATACTCCGTTTTTATTTGAATCTTAATTAACGAGCGTAATCGATTGTATTCTGCTCTAAAAGTGTCACCATTAAAACCTAGTTTTTTGTGCAGGCGTGATTTTCTCTTTATATTTTTTATAATTTCAGAGGAATACCAAACTGGAAACTGACGTTTGCGGTAAACAGAAGGTGGAACGTGTTGGTCAAATATAGAGTGTCTCATAAAATTTGTCACAAGCTTCATCTACTGAAAGGGAATTTTCTATTACTGACCAATTAGTGTTAAACAAGTCTTGATATATTAGATTAAAGTTAGCTTTCCTGAAGTTGTATTTTTGTTGATGCGTGTTAATTAAGGTATTATATTTAGGTAAATTAATTTCTATTGAGACTTCGAGACTAGGATGGTGCGTATCCTCCCGTACGAAAGGCATACATTCTTTTGATATTTTGCAGGTTAGATTGGAGATTACAAAATCGAGAATATGATTGTTAATATTAGTTAAGTGATTCTGTTGATTAAAGTCAAATAGATTACAAAACATATCAAAAGAGTGTACTATATTATTAGAAAGGTTAGAATGGTTCAACTTACCAGTAGCATCATAGGCCTGTGGCAAATTAAAGTCACCAGTAATAACAACTTTGCCATGATGTAAGTAATGTAGTGACTCAAAAGTATCAAATAGTAATAGATAATCGGCAGTTGAGGTATTTGGTGGAATATAAATTACAAAAATATACATAACACATTTCACTGTAAATACTTTACAACCGACTATGTCGATTTTAGGAATATTTTCACAAAATACTTGAACATCTAGTTGATTAGATTTAAATGATTTGTCTATAGCTAAGATAACACCACCACCAGTAGTTCGGGAGCATGCTGTTAGAATTCTATCACATCTATATACAGTGTAATTGTCATTAAAGAGTTCAGAATTTGCAACACCCTCCTGAAGCCATGATTCAGTTATGGCAATAAATTGATAGTCAGAACTTATAGTTGATGTGAAAAATGAAATATGTCTCTTTATAATTATGTATATATTGATTTTTTTAATAATTAAAAACTTCTCCAGCATAAGGCGCTTTTAAACTTTTTTTATTAGTAACCTTTTCCTTTATAATCGAATTAAATTATGGGTTTTGAGCTTATATTAAATTGTAATTAGATGAAACAAAATGGATTCTATGTATTTTGAGGTGATATTTTCGAAAAAAAGGCAAAACAAAATGTAGCTGTTTTTCGAAAGTGCCGAAATTTTGGATTTTTGTCAATTTTTCAATTTTGCGCAGGCGCATGTCGGAAATAAATCAATATTTTTAAAACGCAGTTTACGACATTTGAAAGCTTAGGAAAAATGTTAATTTTTATGTCTCTTAATTTTGAACCGTTCTCGCGGTATGGACGATTGAAATTTGTTTAGTATTTTGAGGCGAAGGTCGAAAAATTGAATTTGTTAAATTTTCAAACACTAAATTCTTTATAACATTGGTAAAAATTAAGATATTTGAAAAAACAAAAATGCGTTTTGAACTTAAGGGATGTGACTAGTGATTCCCAGAAGGGGGCAAGAGAAATTCCAAAATTGGGCATATGGCGGAAGGGCAAAATGTACCGCGGTCCTAATTTCATTGTTTGCCTATAACGGCCAAACTATTTGAATTTTTTTAATGCCACTTTCAAAGCTTACTCTTAAATGTGAAATCTTATGTGTGTGTGTGAATTTCACCGACATCGGACCATAATTGGCTAAGATATCAAACAAACAAACATGCCAAAAATGCACCCAATGGCTCAAAACTTTTTTTTTGAGTACTCTATTGTGTCTAGAATACGATTACATTACGGAAAATTCTGCAAATATATTTTATCTATTTTTTTGACCACTGTTCATTGAGTGACGACCAAAAAACACGGTAATTGAGAAAAGTTGCCTAAAATTGACAATTTTTAGTTTTTTTGTCTGAAAATTAAACAAACCCAAATTTCATGTCTTCTAAATGTGTATACAAAGTTTAAAGTGTGTATGTTTCTTCTAAGTTATAGCATTCTCCCGACAAAAGTCCCATTACACGCGCTTCGCGGGATCCAAAACTCGTGTATACACTACATTACTGTAATTTGATTTTTTTGCGATTTCCAGTTTTAAATTTCTTGCATATGTAAATTTATTAGGCTTAAAATTTATTAAATTGTATTTTACTGACTTGTTATAAGACGTTTCTTGAGTTTTGTGCAAAATATAGAATTACCAGATATTAGCGAACAAAAAGCAAGATTATCACCAAGTTGGAACTTACACTCAGGCTTAGGATTAATTTCCTAACATTTTTAAAGTATACCTTTTTGTGTATTTTTTGTGCTCTTTTCGATGGCGAAGTTAGTTTTTTCAAATATATTTATTTTGTTAGATGTTTTCGGAAAACCCGGAAAAAATCACATGGGAAAAAAATTAAAAAAAAACTATGCCTCTGGTTTCCTGCGAATTCCCGAAAAATTATGTCAGATTTCGCCGCGGGACTTATTTTATTTGAGAGCCAACAAAAAAATACGCAACTTCTCTCATGGGCACGTATGTCTAACATTTATAATTTCGCCACAAATTCATCGCAAATTTCATGTCCATGGTTCTGATCAAAAAAACGAAAAAACGACTTTTTGGTAAAAGCACTTCTGGCGGCGAGAAATTCGCCATTAAAACTACCTGTGCAATGAATTTCCGAACTATTTTTGCCTCCTTTTTCGAATGGTGCATTTATTTTCACTATCGGAATGATACTTGCCCAGATAATTAGCATTTTTACAATGGAAAATTCCGGAAAACCCGGTTTTTCCTAATTTAAAAAAAATTGAAAAACTGCTACATCTTTTTTTTCAGAAAGATCACATCAAAATACACAAGGTCCTTTTTGTTTCATCCAATTACAAATTAATGTAAGCTCGAAGGGGCTTTTTTCGTTATTTAATTGGACTATTATTGATTTTTTTAAGACCCATTGAATCGATTTTTAAAAGATCTTAATTATTTTATTTTGCTAGCTCTAAATTTCAGGGTCTAAATTTCTTGCGATTATATAGAAGAAGAAAAAATCTCACTTGCGGATTCGTCAGTGCCGACGTTATAACTTTCCTCATCAATCCGCCCATGTTATTGAAGTCCAACAACATGGTGATGAATTCGTCGGCGTCTTGGATGGCGCCCTTGTAATTTTCTACGGTGCCTATTCTGCTGTTCTCTCGCAAATGTTGTATCAACCTCTGGATGATTCGCGGCATCATGGCTTCGGCGACGCACATCAGATCGGTGGGGGCGGCGGGGATGTTGGAGCGTTGATTTGAACCGTGGCGTTCGCAGAAACTAATAGAAGAAAAAAAAATACATTTTTAACACTACATCATGATTTTATATTACTTGGTTTTGAAGGCGTCATTGTTCATATAACCGCTAAGAGATTTTTAAACATACTATGCTTAAATATAAGCTGTTACTATCGATCTAAGTAAACAATTCATGCTTAGGGGGACAAAACGTACCCGCATTTCGGAAATCACTAAAAAATCGTATAATTTTGGCGAAATGACCCTTAATTTTCGGTCCAGAACAAAATAATACATGCTTTTCTTTATCATTTGAAAAAACATGCGCTCTTCGTGACAACAAAACTGTTTTTGGATATCAGTTTCATAAAGCAAATTTCGTGGAGCTAAATACATTTTTCGCTGTAAAGACGTCAATGTTAGTCAACAACGCTTTCACAATATTATTGTAAAGGGTATTGCCAAATTCGTACTCAGAAAACGAATTAGAAACAACAAACATCCATTCTTTACTTTTCTTCAGTACCAGCAACCTTTTTTCAAGTATTTATTTTATATGTTGTATTATAATTATAATTACTTGTGATGATCATCGACATAACCCTAATAATCTTTTAAGATAATATTTTAAGTCCTGAAGAAGGCTCTAGAGCCGAAACCGGTTGCCTTTGTTAACCTTTAGTTAGTAAACACTTTTTACATGGTACTGATTTACAGATTTTTATTTTCGCTTTTGAAAATGGCCACATTTGAATTTTAACAGTTGAATAACCTGTACGATTTAAAAACATTTTTTTTTAGTATGTCGCATACTCACCCTGTCTCCTTCATTACGGAGGCGTCGCCGCAATCGCAAGCGCCGCCGGCCTGGCTGAGAAACATGTTGAAATCATGCCTGGCGTGGTTGCCTCTCTTGAAACAGTCCGTGCACAGCGACATGCACGGCGATATGCCGCACGTGCGACATCTGTACGCCACGAAATTCGGCGTCCATACTAGACCACACGTTGTCGCGTTATCGTAGGCTCGAACTGAAAAAAACAAAAAAAAAATTGAAAAAAATAACAAAGAAGAAAAAGAAAAACTGAAAGTTTGTGTCACAGAAACACTCTCAACCTCTATTGAATGTGTGCTTACGAAATCTATCCAAGAATGATGTTCTCCCTGTTACGCAGCACCCTGCACCGTGCTGCGGTCGTCATAAGTAAAGGTACGAGTAAAAGAAAAAGGGGGAATATTCGGGAAATGTCATTCCACGTCAAGAAAAATCTGGACAGTTCGAGAAGCTATATAAGTCGATGTTCCTGACACAGAATAGAGGATTCATTCTGAGAGTGACCACGGTAACGGGCAGTTGGATACGAGAGTAGGCAGGTTGAGACTCATAAACCAGCAGCTTAAGGCAATTGTTTTTAGTGTCGGTGATGATATTTTATACCGGAACTGCCTAACCACACTGCAAGTCGCGATCGCGTTTTCAAATCGAATAAGTGATATAGATACAAAGTGCGGATGTTTTCATTTTAAAATAATGTGCAGTGTATAAAACAAAGTGAGATAGGGAAAATACGTGTAGTTTAAATAAAATCTAGACTCGGAGATAGACACTATGTGCATTCAAAATAAATTAAAGTGATAGAAAAAGTGACAAAAATAAAAATAGTGACAAATAAATCAAAGTGACCAGCCGATGCAGGACTCCACGTCAAGGCACGGGTAAGTCTGAGAACTTATTTTGCACCCATTGAGGACGGTCACAACTATAGCGGACACAATAAATGAAGTGTACGAATCCTCAAGCGACAGTAAGGAAGATGATAGAAAAACAGAAGATATACATAAGGAAAATAAAAAATTAAGGAAAATCCTCCATCAACGGGTAACAAAAGAGACAAATCAAGAAGCCATTATAGAAAGACTATGCACAGAGCTAAGCTCCGTAAAAACGGCTAATAATGATCTTAAAAAACAAAACGGCGAAATCCTTAAAATATTATCGGACATCAGGAAAGAGATGATGGAAAAACGTGAATCCGACAAGAAAAAGGAAGGAAGAAGGATTCCGACAGGAGAAAGGAAGCAGATAAGAATAAAGAAGCGGATAGGAAAAAGAAAGACGAAGAAAAGAAAAAGGACGAAGAAAAGAAAAAAAGGACGAAGAACAGAAAAAGGACGAAGAAAAGAAAAAGGCTGAAGAAAAAACGAAAATGGAAGAAAGGAAAAAGGAAGAGGAAAAAAGAAAGAACAAGGAAGACGCAAAACGGATTGCTCAATTCGTCAAACCCACTCCTCCCGTGACAAGCTCGAGCAGCTTGACACCTGAGACAGACGACAGCAAGATGGACACAGACGTCATCGCAACCCCTGATACCAACGACGACGGATTCACGTTAGTGGGAAAAAAGAGGAAGAATAACTCCTCCAGAAACGTGTCGGACAGCGACAGCGACGAACCCCACAAGTCAAAAAGAACAGACACCAAAACTGTGCCAGAAGAGCAAACTGAACAAAACACGGATGCTAGCAAACCAAAACCTCCACCGATCATATTGGCAAGGGCAGGTAGATGGTTCCAGTTGAGACTGGGGCTCAGAGATAGAGAGATCGGCTACCTGTCTACCGTATATAGAAACGGTAAGCTGAAAATATGGCCAGAAACCGAAGAAGACTACAGGAAGATGCAGAAATACTTCCTGGAAATGGACGAAAGATTCCATTGTTTCACCCTAAAGGAGGACAAATCTTTCAAGGCAGTGATCAGAGGGATCCCCGAAGATACTGACCTTAAAATTATCAAGGATGAGCTAGTAGTACAAGGACTAAACCCAATCAAAGTGCAGCAAATGAGAGCCAGGCGCACCATGCAATCACTCCCACTCTACCTGGTAGACATCAATATGGGTGAAAAAGAAGACATCCTCAAAGTAACGAGATGCGCAGGGATCGTGGTCAGGGTGGAAACACTCAAATCATCTAACTACGCATCCCAATGCTACAGATGTCAAGGTTTTCACCATGCGCAGAACAACTGTTACAAAGACGAAAAATGCGTGCGTTGTGGAGGACCCCACCGCGCATCTGACTGCACTAGACACATCAATCAAGACAAACCCACCTGCGCAAACTGCGCTGGAGAACATCCAGCAAACTACAGAGGATGCCCGAGCATGCCCAAACCCAGGGTAAACCATCGCTCCCAACCCGCAGCCACAGCACGACCTGCTCCAAGATCAGCAAGTTGTGGAAGGGAGGAGGTACTCCCAAACCACCACCAACGTGACTCAGCAAAGCATAAATCATGGAATGCAACAGCTAGCTTTTGAAGCGGCCATCAAGCAAATAAAAGACTGAAAGACCTAATCTCAGCAAGGAAGAGAGCAAGGAAAATCGCATTTCGCACGAGAGACCCGGCGGACAGACGCCATACCAATGTTTTAGGACGTCGCATCAGCGAGGAACTGAAACTGCATGCTGACAGAAGCGAGCTCGACCCCCAGAAGCCTGGATTATGGAAACTGTCGCATTTATATATTAGTAAGATTAGTCACTAATAGGTCTGATGATGGTAATTGACCGAAACTAGTCGCCATACGCCTTTTTTAATAAAAAAAACATTGTTATGGTTAAGAATTTGTGATTTTTTTTCTTTCCTTTTCAAATGCACCTATTATTTTTAATTGAATTTTAAACATTATGCACGGCATACATTTTAACAGTTTCAATTTAAAATAATTTGTAATTTTTCCTGTAAACCTTTGCGATACATTTTATAATAATTGGCAAAACAGGTAAATAATTATAAACCATTTATTTTTTTTGTTAACAGATAATAAAATAACCTTGGTGCAATTTTTTAATGCACACGATATTATTGAACTTCAACCTAATTATAAAAAGTACAAACAACAATAATTATTTTCAATAACGGTGACGCGATCGATTTTTCTACGCACATTTTGTTATCGATACACATAATGTGTTATGCAATTTTTTTTTAAATCCTTTTTATTTGTGTTGCAGGAAAGACAAACATAATATTTTATGAAGCACGTGCGTCCTTTAACATCTGACAAATTACAATATATTAATAAAAGATAATAACAAAAAACGTGTTTTTATTTTGAAATTCACCAAGCAAAATACAGAGTAATAAACTATTTTCACGATAAGCAAATAGTGACATTATTTCTATTGTCAATGGAATAACACGAAAAAACTAAGCAAATACGATTTAAACTTAACGTTGTTAAGCCAACTTTTACCTCAGGGTAATAAGGGAAAGCCGTTTCAACGCCAAGACAGGTCAAACTCAGGAAGGATTCGAAAGTTAGCAAGTAAAAACTAGTGCGGAGTTCTTTTCTTTTAATCAGGCAGTATATTATATATTTAAAATATCTTTTATATAAATACTTATTTATGTTTACATCATTTCGAAGGTAAGTTCAACAAGAATCATAAAAAGGATTACTAACTGTAGAATAACATTGAATATTTTGTTTTGAATATTTTTAATAATTATGATCTATTTTGTTTCAGACTTATTATCATGTCCTTATCACAAATTTGACCTATTGAGAATATTTAAAGTTCTACTTTTAAGGAATTATCAGCAAATTGACAAGTTACTATACATATAAATAAATTATCAGCAAATTGGCAAGTATGTCACTGACTTGAATAAAAAAAAATGTTGTTAAGGCTTATCTGTTGTTTTTTTTTATCAGAAGGGCGGCTTCTCTCCAGAACCTTACAGGGCTTCGTCCAATGTAATAGAGTTTCTCCTAACTATATTCTCTAGAATATCGCGGATTAATTCGGCTTAAAGCCCATAAGGAAAAAAACTATTGGTTATTTTTTGCAGATATTTACCGAAATATCCGATTTATTATTTAATTTCGATATTAGGTATAAAGTAACCCATATCACATTTTATGGATCTAAAAAGAAATAATCTTTTTTGAGAATTCAATTATCAAATTCGCTTCAACTGAAGACACGTTTAGGCCCCCTTCCAACCGAGGTGAGTCTATTGATTGAACTATTCTAATGCACTTAATATTTCTTTAGACGATGCTTTACTAAGTTATATTATGTTCTGTATACATAAATGGATAAAATTTGTCGGATAAGTTGTAAAACACCCTGTATATCGTGACTATGGATTTTTTTTAACATTGGTTTTAAATACAAAAAAGATGATCCACGTCGTGGTTTAATGGAGTTACCACATATTGATTTTAAACGTGTACATTTTTTACATGAATATGTTAAAATCAAAAGGGAACTTGCATCACATTTTTTTTTTGATAAGACGTGGATATTTGAAAATGATATCTACAGTTGGACGTTCCTGGATGATAAGATAAGTGTGAGGAAAACCAAAGGTGGTGGTGCAATGTACTTAAACATATTATTTAAATTTAGGATAAACTTTATAGGTAATAGAATTAATTTTCCATTTTTTTTTTTAATTTAACACTGTTAATTTTTTAAAATTTTTACTTTTTCATTGTAGGTATACAGAGTGGAAAGTCTAACTGGAACAAATTCTGTAACTTGATAAATAAAGGTTTGTCGCAAAATTCCTGAAACAAGTCAATTTTTATTTTCAATGGAGCATATTACAAGGAGGTTTGATTATCTTTTTAATTATCTGGGGGGTTGCAGACACCCTCAACTTTTTATTTTTTAAATGGAATGGTAGTTTGATTAATGTTTTATTTGAAAGCTTTTTCAATTACAAATACAATTACATTTTTTTTTGTTACTTTTTATAAGCAATGTGTCGGAAAAAATAGTATTCACTAGTAAAAGTATAAAAGTTCCGTTCATGTATAATAGTAATATACAGGGTGGATCGGATTTAATTTGCGTATACAGAGATCTCGTAAACCGTAAGATATACATTGTCGGTTAAATGGGGAAAAAATTTCGTATTTTGACGGATAATACAATGGTCCATAGAAGTTCCAGATTTTCTGACTGGTTCCGGAGATATTCGATAAAATCCGAAAAACCTCATTTTCGTTGTTATTATAAAAGATACAAAAAAAAATTATACGAAGTTTTTGTTATAAATCAAGTTCCCTATAAACTGCCATGTCAAAATTTTTATTATGACGTTTCGTATTTGCAGGGCCACCTTATTTTTTTAAATACGTACCTGGATTTTTAACTGTAATTTTTTATAGCTTTTGTATAGCTAAATACAACGATATGTTACACTTTACCATTTTACTACGTTTCGTCTATGAAAATATAATCAGCTATGTAGCTTCTGATGATACCGTTTCTTACTTGATTAAAACAAGATAGCTAATTAAATAATAATTAAAAAACAAAAAATGCTTAAAATGTGAAATTTTAAATATTATTTGAAACATAATACAAGAATTATTTAATTTGGGACATTTGGAATATAGTTTTATCAACCATTTCTGGTGTAATTTTTTCAAATGCATCTACTATTCGTTGACGAAGTTCTTGTAGATTATTTGGCATATTTTTGTCGTAGATTTAGTTCTTTACGAAGCCCCATACAAAATAATCCATGGGGTTAAGACACGGAGATCGAGGAGGCCATCTTATTGGTCCATTGGTACCAATCCAATTACCTCTAAAATATTGATCGAGATACTCTGCAACTCTTCTAGCATTGTGTGCACCACAACCGTCTTGCATGAAGTATTGAATATTTTGTCTTGTTTGTAAGGGCATCTCATCGAGTACTTCCTCCAATAAATGTAGGTATCGGAACTGATTTAAATTACCATCCAAAAAAATCAGCCCAATAATCTGATTATTGATTGGTCCACTCCACACATTTTGGGTAAAACGGAACTGTGGTCTAACTTCTCTGATTGAATGGGGATTAGAAGTAGCATACAAATGCTTGTTCCTGGGATTAAATATTCCACTATTAGTAAAGGAGCATTAATCCGTCCATAATATCTTTTTGTTGAAAGAAAGGTCATTGCGCAGTTTTCTACTATACCAACGACAAAACATCAGTCTTCTATCAGGGTCTCCAGCGTGTAATTTCTGGACTTTTTGAAATTTATACCCGTGGTATTTATGTTTCTTTAAAATTATTTTAACCGTGGAGGTTCCTACTACACATTCTTTAGCTATTCGCCTAGTAAAATTTTCAGGGTTAATATGTATTTAGGCAAGAACATTAATTTCATTTTCGTCATACTGTACTATTATCTTACCATAATAAGAGCGAAATTGATATCGAAAAGGTGCATTTAACGGCCGCCGGCCGTTAAATAAAACAACGGCCGCGCACCACCTACAACAATCTAAAGTTGCCTAGCAACCACATCAATATACTATACAAACATTGTAAGTTTGACAGTACTGTTTCTTGTTGAGTGATTATAGAGCGGAAAAGATCAAAGATGGAAGAAATTTTCGAAAACGATATTTCCTCCGATGTACTGGAAGAAGCAGCTGCGGCAACCAAAAATTTATTTCCGAGTACAACCCAACAAAGATATCAGCAGGAATACGACAACTTCGTGAAGTGGCGTCAGAATAAAAACATACATAGTGTAAGTGAAGAAGTACTGCTAGCTTATGCAAAAGGAATGTCTGAAACGTATTCTCCTACATCACTGTGGACAAAAATATCAATGCTGAAACTTGCGTTAAGAATACATGAAAACATTGACATATCAAGGTAAATTACTATACTATCCGCCAACATTGAACTGACTATATACTCATCGAAATTATGTTTGTTTGTAGATTCGGTAAACTATTCTTGTTCCTGAGGCGCAAAAATGAAGGTTATATCCCAAAGAAAGCCAAGGTTCTATCGGAAAATGAT